TCGAGCAGAGGATTCCAAAAAAACTAGTAAATCTAGTCAGGATGTGCTTGACGGAGACACTCAATAAAGTTAGAATTGGTAATAATTTGTCCGAAAAATTTGAGGTTCGTTCGGGTTTAAAACAGGGGATTCTCTTTCGCCTGTCCTGTTCAATTTGGCATTAGAACATGCCATTAGGGAGGTAATGCGTACCGAGAAGGGGTTGGATCTGGGCGGGACAACATCCGTGCTGGGCTATGCTGATGATCTGGTACTGTTAAGCGAAGACGTTGAAACTATAAAACTAAATACGACAACATTAATGAAAGCCGGTAAAGAACTAGGACTCGAAATAAACGTGGATAAAACAAAATATATGGTTAGTTGCAAAAATGGCGATACTACTGGTGATATCGATACAGATGGTAATATGTTTGAACAGGTAGAGAAATTCAGGTATCTAGGTTCTACGATAACTAGAAAAAACGAAATTGAAGAAGAGATTAAGGTTAGACTGAAGGCGGGAAATGCTTGTTATTTTTCTGTGACAAAACTACTTAGTTCGCGCCTCTTGTCCCGAAACTTAAAAATTAGAATCTATAAAACAATTATCTTGCCTACAGTTCTTTATGGATGCGAAACTTGGCCGCTTACATTAAGGGATGAGCAGCGTCTTAAGGTTTTTGAAAATAAATTATTGCGTAGAATATTCGGACCGAAGAAGGATGAGTTAACCGGAGAGTTCAGACGGTTACACAACGCCGAATTGCGTGAGCTGTATCCGGGTAATATAATTGAGGTAATTTCATCGCGGCAAATCAAATGGGCTTGTAAAGTTGTTGGGTTTAGTAACGAGAGAATTCCTAAAAGGTTAATATGTGCGGTGCCGAATGGTAAGCGTCCGAAGGGTAGACCGAAGCGAAGATGGGAAGATTGCATTAAAGCCGATCTGAAGGGAATGGGTTTGGACGGCGAACGGTGGAGGGAGGTGTGTAATAAGCGATTGATGGTGTCGGCATCGAACCTTCGGGTTCGCTAAGCCTTTTATTATTATTATTATTATTATTATAACTATTTAGGTATGTCAGGTACTATGCAGATATTTATACATCTTTTATCTTATGCTTTTTCGAAACAAAATATGCTTTGTATTTGACAAAAGAATGAAATGTATTTAATATGAAAATATATAATTTGTTTTGCTTTTATTTTCATATCACCAATTCACAATAATTTTATTAATGTCAATTCTTCTTTTCTTGTTCTTTGCTGGGAATTTTAATTTAAATTTAAGTTTTGAAGATGGAATAATTTTCCCGAAACATCAACTTGACATGTAATTCGACAAATAAACCAATTGTTTGTATACCTGAAAGTTTTCATTGCCAAAAATAAAGAAGTTTAATAATGTGATTTGTTACAGTTTGGTGCTTTTAATACTTTTTTCTGTAACTGTATTGGTGAATTGGTGATATGAAAAGAAAAGCTACAAAATTTATATATTCTTATATTAAATACATTTCATTCTTTTGTCAAATATAAAGAATATTTTGTTTCAAAGAAGCATAAGTTAAAAAATGTATAAATATCAGCATAGTACCTGACATACCTAAACAGTTATTAAAATTACTATAGTTAAACATGTTGTAAAGTATTTATTACAGGACAAATATGGCACTGAATGAATAAAATATATATAGGCACATATTTAATATATTTTATTGTCTAGTAACTAATATGAATTCATTGCTTAATTTTATAAGATATGTATACAAAATATTTACATTAATATTTACCTGGTAGCTACTTATTTTAATTGAGATTTTATTGAAGTTGTTAAATAATTTGTTGTGATGTAAATATGTTTACCACAATTCTAAAAAAGTTTGTTTTTATAAAGTCAAAAGTTTTTTGCAGCAGTGGAATTAATTATTATAATATGTTAATAACATCTTCCTTATTTTCATTTCAAATCAAACTAATTAAGTTAAAAATTCAATTTTTTCTAAGCTATTCTTGTTTTATATATATATATATAAATAGACCAAAAAGCAGATGGATATATAGAATCAACAAAGATGCAATAGAGCTGTGTGCAGATAAATGGAAAGAAATAGCCCAAGACAGGCAGACTTGTTGAGGTAGGAAAAGATCTACATAGTTGTAATCCCAATAGAAAAAAAAAAAAAAAAAAAAAATATAATAATAAATATATTATATATATATATATAATATATATATATATATATATATATATATATATAGATTTGTGTATGTTAAATTTAGTCATAAAGATTTTTTTTAATTGTTACAAAATTTTTAGAATTTTTTACTAGGAAAAATTTTCTATACATGAATTTGTTAATATAAATCTCTACATGAATTGTTAATGTAAATATATTCCATTCTTTTGACAAATATAAAGCATATTTTGTTTAAAAAGTTGTGTACATATCTGCATAGCACCTGACATAACTATATAAATTAGAACTATTATATTTAAAAATGGTGTAAAGTATTTATTACAGGCACAAATTTAACAATAATGGAATAAAATGTATAGGTTCATATTTAATATATGTTTTATAACATATGTTATAATACCAAATAATATAAATAGGTATTAAAAATATCAAACATGATCAGTAATCAATTACAATTGGATCAAAATATCCGATACAATCACAGGCGGATGTACGGGGGGGGGGGGCTTTCGGGCTGAAGCTCCCACAAAATGGTAAAATGTAACCATGTTTTATGGTAAAAATATAAAAAAACTATGTATTTAAGTATGATTGCTCGTTTAATTACATTTAATAGGGCTTCAAGAATCATTTAAACAGCATTTCATATAGATAGTATCTTTCTGTTTTCCAAAGTAATTATCGTTATTATAAATAAAAAAAAAAGCTTCCGGGCTGAAGCCCACCCCAAAACTAAATCCTGGATCCGCTAGTGGATACAATTATAGGGATATCAAATTCTCCTAGCGCCAGTATGTGCACAGTTCGGGTATCTACTCTTCAGTATAGGGATGGGTCAATGGAACTGGATCGGGAACGGGAACCTAATCTCACTGTGGAACGGAACGGAACTGTTCCAACGACTGAAAATTATCGATACCGCCGCTTTGATAAGGAACGGATCTTATCGAACTTATAACTTATCGAACCGGCCCCGCTTTGGGGGCCGGTTCGATAAGGAACGGAGGAACAGTTGGCGAATCGTTCCAGACCAGTTCCAATTCCGTTCCAGCTGGATCGATAAGGAGTGGGGAGGAACAGTTGGCGAATCGTTCCAGACCAGTTCCAATTCCGTTCCAGCTGGATCGATAAGGAATGGGGAGGAACGGTTGGCAATTCGTTCCAGATCAATTCCAATTCTGTTCAAGCTGGATCGATAAGGAACGGAAGAACAGTTAGCAGAAGTGTTCCAGCGGGTTCGATAAAGAAAATTATTGAAGAAATGGAAACTCCTGCTATTTAAATAATTATCTTATTTTAATTATCACTTTCAGTATTTTTTATTTTAAAAATAAACTAATTAACGAAAATATTAAACAATTCTATTTCTAAAATGTTTAAAATCATAAATACAAAAATTTGGTAATCTTAATTATCCTAAAAACAGGAGTGCATGAAACTTTTTAATTTTAATTTTAAAATACAATGGTACATTACCATAAGTAGCATCTACGTTTCTACTAATTTTATTTCGAAACATATTTTTTTTAAAGGATTTGTAAAAATATACATTATTTTTAAATATGAAAAAATATTGTAATTTGAAAAATACTTTGCCTCCGATATGGTTCTGAACTGGCTCAATTCTAACTCAATTTCACTCAGAACTAACTCAATTTTAGCTCAATGAAAGCTTTTGAAAGACTAAAATTTATTTAGATGAACTTCGTTTCAAAGTTATTAAATTCAGCATAAAATTATTTGATGAAATAGTAATTTCAGAAATAAGATTTATAAATGTTGAAAAAATTTAGTAAAATGATAAAATAAAACATTTCAAAAATATTTTTTTGATCTATTTATCGATTACTCAAATATTATTTTAAACAAATTTGTCCAGGACTAATTTTAAGCCTGTTCCTTAGCTGTTATCAATACCGATCAGGATATGTTTTGGAACCAATATACAAATACAAACAGTTTTTCAAACAAAATAATGATATATTTGTTTGGTTAATCACATATTCATTTTAAAAAAATAAATGTATTAGAAGGAGAGAGGAAAACATTTATACAAACTTTTATTTATTTATATTTGCATACATCTAGGGCAATATTATAGCTTTATAATATATATATACGTAAATATTTATTTCTTTTAACACATATATCTAGTGCCATATACAAATTTTCTACATAGTAATTCAATAGCAATATCATAAGAGAAAAGTTAAATCACAGATACAAATACAAAAATATGTATATATATATTATATATATATATATATATATATATATTATATATATATATATATATATATATACAAAGACAAAGACAAAGACAAATATTATAACAAATCTATAAAAAACATGTACCACTACTACCCATGAAGGGTCTTATGTTTAGTACTATTCAGGGAAAGCACTGTTTCTTGGTCTATATTGTGCAAGGAGGTGATTTGACCGAGATCACGCTCAACCGCCTGTTTTTTTCCCTTAATCAAGGGTACCCACTTTATAGAGGTTGGGTCCCCAGGAGGGTCTACCTACCCAGGTTCGCACCACGGCCACGAGACGGGATTTGAACCTGGGACCTTTAGCGTTAGAAACTGAGTACCCTACCACTGAGCTACCCCACTCTCTATAACAAATCTATAAAAAATAAAATTTAAGCAATTACAATTTGATACATATAAGAAATTTAATCAACTCATACAGCAAGTTATCTAATAAACAAATTTTCATTTGAGTTTAAAAACAGCAACATCCTTGCTTTTTGGGGTGACAATTGGCTCGCCTTTCTGATAAAAAACATTCCTGCTTTTGAAAAAAGTATGTTCATGGATCAGATGTTGCTGTTATGCAAAGGCATTCCTCAGCTACTTTTGCAAGAAAGGGAAAGTCTCGACGATTTTCATACCACCATCTTATAAGATCTTCATGCAATGGAATCAGTCCTTCATTGATATAACGGCTCAGCTCTATTAAAGCTTTGCTTTCTGGGATTCTGTAAAAATAGATGAACATTATTTAAATGAAAAAAAAAGTATACATAAAAATTAGACCATTGTTAATTTCAAGAAATAACTAATTTTTTGACATATTTTTAGTTTATTAAATACAAGGTTCATATTGTATAAAGATTTGACTTTTCAAATGAGAGTCATTTTCAAAATGTAATACACAACAATAACAAGTAATCTAATACATTATAACTAATTTTTAAATTTCATATTTCCCTATTGAAGGTGTCTATTAAAATTTATGTTATATTAAATTAGCTGTTTAAACTCCCTATATATATATATATATATATATATGCAAAAGTGCATAGAAATTAAATATACTAACATTCCAATGATAGTAAGAATAATGATAATCCTAAATATAACAATAAGACAGCATGTGCGGTACACCATGCTCATTAGGACATAAATTTTATTTTCGAGATTTTAAAATCGATGACTAAATAATTAATAAAACAATTTTAATATCCTAATTTAAATAAATAACTTAATAAAAGGATAAATAAAAAATAATAGTTATGTTGTCTTTATTATATAAATTTAATTAAATATTTTAATAAATTTATGTTTGCACTTTTTTTTGTGTACAAATGATGATGAAGGTAAGTTTATTTTAATAAAAAAAAAAAAAAAGATCTTAAGGCTATGCTAAACAAAATAAAAAACTATGTCAATTTTCATTTCATCTATGGAAAATCATAAAAATTACTTACCAATAGATGTACTTTGAGATTTGGTCTCTGATAAAAATGAATTGAAGACAGAATCCTCATCAAGGGACACCAGCATTTGTTGTTCTTCACTAGATTTGTTCTGTTCCGGCTCATTTGTGGTCCTTGAGGAATCAACGATTTTTTTAATAAGAAGTCCTTTCATATTATTTTTGCAATACGGGCTGCATCTTTATTTTTGAATCCCATCATCTAATACCTCGGATCCAAAAAAGTGTATACAGCCTTCCACTTCTCTCTAAGTTCCCAAATCTTTCTTTTTTTTAGTTTCTTTTATTAAAATGTCAATAGTAACTTTTAAGTCTGTGAATTCCTCTTGTATTTTATACTTATCTAGTAGGTCTAAAAGTCCTGGAATCATCACAATTGAGCTGGAAGCTGGAGGATATTTTTGGAAACTTAAATTTTCGGTTAATTGTTTGTAAGGTTTTAATAACGAAATTAATTTTCTTGTAAGTTGCCACTCTAATAAATTTAGAGAGGGCAATTCTGTATCTATTAATGCTATGCTGGTTTTAATTGGTACCTCCAACTCCAGGAATCTTGACAACATATTGAGGGTTGAATTCTATCTAGTTTCAAGGGAATTAACAAGCTTTAATGGTGAGTCAATGCCATTACGCTTCTGTGATTCAGACAGTTTCAGCCACGATTTAGAAGAAATGCGGAAGTGGTTAACTGTTTTTTTATCGCAGAAGTAACCCGGCTTTGGGTGGTAAAAAATGCTTAGGATGTAGGGTGGTGTTGAGCTCAACTATCATTCTGTAAACCTTTATGTTCATTCCATTCTAGAAGAAAATATAATTTTCTAAACTATATATATATATAAAATTCTGCAATTATTAGAAGTAATCATTAATTGACTTATATTGATTTCTTCTTAATTATTCTGTTTCGAAAGATATAAATGATGTTGCAACGAAGAAGCCAAAACATATAGAAACGAATCGTTTAAAAATTTGTTTATATTATTAAAAAATATATTAGTACCTATTATTATTATTTCTACAATTTCATGAGATAAAAAAATCGCATTTTTAGACACCAACGTTTATCAGTCTAATTAGTTTTCTTTACTAACGTTACTTTTAGGTTTCTTTTCTTTAATTTTAATTCATTTTCTTTACATTATTTGCAATATGATTGTAACAATATAATTGGATTTTCAATCTTGTAAAAATCGAAATATAAAATTTATAATTTTAAATGTTTTATTTCATATTAATGTTACATTTCACATAAACGTTATATTTTATATTAATTAAATTGAAGCTTATGTAGCATTTTAAAATAAACGAACAAAGAATAGAGTGAAAATAAATCTTCCTTTAGTCTGTGGCGAGAAGTCACTGAACTATCGATAATTTTTCATCGATGGTGCAAAACTATCGACTATCTCTCTCATGCCTAGGTGTAAATTCTGGAGTAAAAGTATTGGAACGGTATCGATAATTTGGAACAGGTCCGTTTGGGGAATGGACCTGGTTGGAACAGATACACTAAAAATCGGTAACGACCCATCCCTGCTTCAGTGTATCAAGTGCAGTTATCAGATAAATTCATCCTATAAGAACATCAGACAAATTACCCGATATAGGTTTCAGACGTAAAGTAATAAGGAGGTACTGAAAAAAACTACTGGCTTGCTATTGTTAGATACAATACAGTACCGGAGCCAATTGAGTCAATGGACCATATGTCGGTATCAAAGAAATCATTCTTTCATGCGAAAGATGGGTAACGAGAGTCGTACCCGATTATTCTGCTCTTATTTTTTTATCAGTTGATTTATATACCTTCATCTTTATTTAGTAAAATAAACATATTTTTACAATACATGTTATAAAATGAAAGAACTAGAAATTTTATAAAGTTATAAATACAGAAATAAAATATAAAATTCATGGTGTGGTATGAACATCTTGTGATGGCGGGATCTCACAGCGGGTGCGTGAACTACGTGCAGGGCCACGACGACAGGACTTCGTACTACACGGCGGGCCAGACCCCCCTACCGTGCAGAAAAGACCATATCATAAAAAAATAAGAAATTTTAATATTGATTGCATTATTCTTTCTCCACAAAGAAAGATGGAAAGGGCGAAGCGATAAGTATAGGGTAATCGGAACTGATTGTTAGTATTTGGTCTCGAAATGAGTGAAAACGTGAAATTAAACCCAAAAATTGGAAAAATACAGTAAGCGAACGAGAAAGGAACTGGTAAAATCTCAGAAAAGAGAAATAGGATCAGTATCAATTATATAGCTAAACGCATATATAGTAGATAGATGAAGATAATATTTCAATATGCAGCTCAAAAGGGGTCAAATGCTGGAACAGTTTGTATGATATTAAGAGGGCGAAGCAGAGTGAATATGGTGAAGACCATTTTATCAGCAAGAAAGATTTGTTCGAAGCAATTGGCAAGTCAGCTGTGGTCTGGATGAAGTAAACCGAACTGCTTCGCACTGTTTTGCGCGTACATAGGCAATAAATCTATTGAAAAATGACATGAAAGTACTGTAGTTTTGTTCCTTTATAAGAGAGGTGATACGAGGAAATTTAATATCCATTGAGATTCATTCCTGTTTAGTGTACCTAAGAAACTCTACTCAAGAATCACAGAATCTCAGCTACTTTGTTCGAAGCAATTGGCAAGTCAGCTGTGGTTTGGATGAAGTAAACCGAACTGCTTTGCACTGTTTTGCGCGTACTTAGGCAATTGCTTCGAACAAATCTTTCTTGCTGATAAAATGGTCTTCACCATAATCAACCTGCATCGTCTCCTTAATATCATACAAACTGCTCCAGCATTTGATCCCTTTTTATCTACATCTTGAAATATTCTCTTTATCTATCTACTATATATTCGTTTAGCCATATAATTGAAGCTATATATTATAATTAGCCATATACCTTATACCAGTAATATAAGATACTGATCCTTGTTCTCTTTTCTGAGATGTTACCAGTTCCTTTCTCTTTCGCTTACTGTATTTTTCCAATTTTTGGGTTTAATATCGCGTTTTCACTAATTTTGAGAACAAATACTAACAATCAGTTCCGGTTACCCTATACTTATAGCTTCGCCCTTTCCATCTTTCTTCGTGCAGAAAGAATAATGCATTCAACATTAAAATTTCCTATTTTTTTATGATATGGTCCAACTTCCGAACAAAATAAAGGAAATAATTTTTTTTTTTTTATTTGTGATATATGAGTTTTACTAAACAACCAAGCGACTAATCATTATATATAATTCAGACTCAGTACATATTATTTTAGTTTATAAAACAGGTATTAATATGACGCATTTCCGGAGAAGTAAATACAATTTAAACTACCTCTAATATTCAGTAAATATACAAAACAAAGTGTTAAATTGTAAACGTTAAATAAAAAATTCAAGATATTCACTCAGAAAAGATACTTTTCTGCCGCTTAAGTGCATTTTCTACGGAACTGCTTCAAATATTTTTAAATGTTATCAGTGATTTAGAAAAAGAAATATATTCCCCAGATGTGTTATTTCAGCACGTTTTGCGTTATTGTTGGCCGTTTAATTACAAACGATGCTTGATTTTCAACTTGAAATTTTTTTTTCTCGAAAAAATTGACTTTACTGGTGTTTTTTATTGCCTAAACCAATTATTTTTTAATATTTTTTCATGTTTTCCTATTGTCTGACCATCCAGCTGTAATACAAGACCAACTATAATGAAATTAAGCCGAATGCTGAATCTCGGTGATCAAAAAATAGCTATTGGGTCCGCTAAGAGACACCTTCTTGCCGTTCTCCAGGATCATGCGTTGACATATGAGGAATTTTGCACTCTTCTGGAACGAGTTAAGGCCGTTCTCAATTCCCGTCCTATCTGCAACATTAGCAGTCAGCCATCGGATAACCTGGATTACCTCACCCCAGGACACATTCTTATAGGTCAACCCATCCCAGGCAGACCAGAACAAGGAGACACACCTGTGTTACCTTTGACAAGCCGTTGGAAGATGATTTCCAAGACTATTCGTAATTTTTGGAAGAAATGGTATAATGAATACCTTCATAATCTGGTACTTCGCAACAAGTGGTATACTAACAGAGAAAATTTAAAGGAGGGAACCCTTGTAATTCTGCATGAAAAAGATGTTCCACTGCAGGAGTGGCGACTTGCCAGGGTAATAGAGACACTTCCAGGGCCTGACAGTGTAGTTAGGGTTGTAAAATTGAGGACTGCTACAGCCACATTGGTCCGAACGGTGCACAAGTCAGTGCCTCTCCCGTCTGGAGAAACCTTTTATTGATATGACTATTTTTTTGTTTAAATTTCATAAGGAGTCATTCTATTTTAAGTTAGTTATAATTTATTAGCCTAATTTCTCTCTTTATTGTAAACCAAGTAATTTTCCTCTCGTTAGTGCCTTGCCTGGTAATCACTAATCTCTGATTTTTTTTCTTTTTTTGTTTGTGAAATCAGATATTTTACCGTGGGGGATATGTTTGTGCCAAAAATGGTTTGAATTTTCAGCGCTACGGCGAGTGGTGGGGAAAGATCAGAGAGATAACACTTAATCCTCAAGAACTGCTGGTTTCTCCAGGCACTTCTCTTCTTACAGCCACCCTGATCACACCACCGACACCTGAGGGTCCTCAAGGTAACCAAAAGATGTAAGCTGGCATAAAGACGGTAAGCTATTTTTTGCACAATCATTATAACCTACCAATCAATTAAGATAAGATACAGTCCACTGCATAGAAGTAGAATGTTGTCTTATTAAAACTCATGAGAGTTATTTGCCTTAATTAGAAAAGTTGCCTAAACAATACCGGAGTAATGAATAAAATAGCTTTACCGTTATTTTTCGTCGACCTTGAACGAATGCCTGGGGTCGAATACATCTACAAAGTTAATCGTCTGTACTATGCCACTATAACTGTCGAAAAACCTTACCTTAAGCGGTATATCGGGCTGAATGGCGGCGGCTCATTGAGGAGGCCAAGGCCCACCCAGGGTTGTAGCGCCACGTAGATAGATAGATTATAATGCATACATGCATTTTCCGCTTTGATGCACAGTTTAGGTGTTATAATCGAAAAAAATATCCAAAAAACAATTTTTTTTTTGCTGCCAAAAGTTCTCTTAGTTTGCATGCAGTAGTTGTTAGTTTGCATGCAGGGCCCATGCAGTAGTTTGCACCCATATATAAAAGCTCAAAAATTAAAAGTTTTTAAACATTGTTAGCAACATAATCTCCGCTTGGATCCTTAAATGATCTAACTAATAAGTTTTAAATTAAAGGCTCTGGAACGTCAGAGAACTTTCAGTTTACTTAACATAACACATACTTTCATAATTCTCATTTAAACCTCCTAATATGGGTATTTTTTTAGGCCCTGGCTTCAGGGCTATTGTGAAGGTCTTTATATATTATATACCTACTATTAGGTATATTTATTTATTTTTATAGGTGCTATTTCTTATACAAATCTATTTAATTTTTTATAACTTATTTTAGAAGAAATGTGCAATAATGGTGTAAAATATATGAGGAATTCACATAATTTAAGTTCCTAACATTCTTTATATATATTACATATGTGTATTTATAGCATTTCCAAGTCAATTTCAACCTTTTCCAAGTCAAATTAAACCTTTTCCATTTCAAATTCAACCTTTTCCATTTCAAATTCAACTTTCGAATTTTTGTCAATTTCGATTTTTTTCGAAATGAAGCCACTTACTATATTATCGAAGGCATAGCTTGAAAAATACAAAAAAATTTTGATAACGCGGTTGCATATCCATTTATTTTAATTTTAGATTTTTTCAGTGTGATATTTCTATGTCATTTCCAAGTCAAATTCAACCTTTTCCAAGTCAAATTCAACTTTTCAGATCAAATTAAACTTTTTCCAAGTCAAATTCAACCATTTCCATTTCAAATTAAACCTTTTCCAATTCAAATTCAACCGTTTTCATTTCAATTTAATGTTTTAATTTTTTGTAAATTTATATTTTTTTTTAAATAATGGCCATCCCCTCCCCCCCTCCAATATGAAAGTCTATTATTATGCTCTCCTAAGTAGAATTTTCACTTACGGATATCGTTTATTGTACCTATTCGGATTTATTAGGGACTAGTATTATGCTGTCCTGTACCTAGTTTTGAAAATAACCCCCATTTTAAGATTAAGTGACTGCGTTTCGAATCATTTAAGTTTTTTTAATTATTCGATATAAGGGTGTATTTTTATGTTTCCCGATCAGTAAATTTTGAAAATGACATCCATTTTATGTTTACGCCGCTGTGTTTTGACTTATTTAAGTTTTTTTATTTATCCAATATAAAGTATTTTTTGTTTCTGAGCCGTAGATTTTGAAAACGAACCTCCATTTTAAGATTAGGCACCGCGTTTCGACTTATTTAGTTTTCGGATTTTTTCATATGAGTGTATTCTTATGTTTCCGGAGCCGTAGATTTTGAAAACGACCTCCATTTTAAGATTAGGCCACCGTTCCGATTTCTTTAGTGTTTCGATTTTTATCATAAAAAGTGTATTCTTATGTTTCCGGAGTCGTAGATTTTGAAAATGACCTCCATTTTAAGATTACACCACTGCGTTTCGGCTTATTCAAGTTTTTCGAATTTATCCAATTTAAAGGTCTACTTTTATGATGCCGGAGCCTTAGTTTTTAAAAACTTATATTTTAAGATTAGGCCACTGTGTTTCGGTTTTTTTAAGTGTTTTTGATTTTTCCTTCGAATAAAAAACAAAATAGAAGGATTAATTTATTTTTCAATAAATAAATAAAAATATCTAATCAAAATAAATAAAATATGTATTGTCTCATTTTTAATTTAATTTTAGTTATCTTTTTTTAATGTTGTTCTATAAAACAATTATCTTGCCTACAGTTGTTTATGGATGCGAAACTTGGCCGCTTACATTAAGGGATGAGCAGCATCTTAAGGTTTTTGAAAATAAAGTATTGCGTAGAATATTCGGACCGAAGAAGGATGAGTAACCGGAGAGTTCAGACGGTTACACAACGCCGAATTGCGTGAGCTGTATCCGGGTAATATAATTGAGGTAATTTCATCGCGGCGAATCAAATGGGCTTGTAAAGTTGTTGGGCTTAGTAACGAGAGTATTCCTAAAAGGTTAATATTTGCTGCCGAATGGTAAGCGTCCGAGGGGTAGCCGAAGCGAAGGTGGGAAGATTGCATTAAAGCCGATTGAAGGGACTGGGTTTGGACGGCGAGCGGTGGAGGGAGGTGTGTAACAAGCGATTGGTGGTGTCGGCATCGAACCTGCGGGTTCGCTAAGCCTTATTATTATTTTTTAATGTTGTGGTCTCCTGTCACAAAATTATAAGATTTCGAACAATTAGCTGAAAAATCTGAATACGGAAGGTTAAATTTATTACCAGCTGCTTTTCGGCTTTTTAGTTTGTATTCTGTGGTTAATTTAACTTTAGCTTCATAATATTTATTTATTTATTCATATCGAAAACATATTGATGAAACTTTGTATTGAAAAAATCCAAAATGAAGCCTAATTATTCGAGATGCAGCGGCTTAATCATAAAATGAAGCTTAAATATTAGATAAATTTAAATATTAAAGATTAGAAATATTTCAATACGTCTCGGATAACATATAAGTAGATCCTTATACCGAAAAAGTAAAAAAAAAACTTTTATAATCCAAAACACAGTGGCATAAACTTGAAATTGGGTCATTTACAAAATGGGGGAAATCTACTGCTCCAGAAACATAAAATTAGACCTTTATACTTGTTAAATTCTAAAAACTTAAATAAGTTGAAACGCAGTGGCGTAATCCTAAAATAGAGGTCATTTTCAGAATCTACGGTTCCGAAAACATAAAAGTAGACCTTTAAATTGGATAAATTCGAAAAACTTAAATAAGTCAAAATGTAATGGCGTAATCATGAAATGGAGGTTATTTTCAAAATACGGCTCAAGAAACATAAAAGTAGACCTTAATATTGGATAAATTCGAAAAACTTAAATAAGTCAAAACGCAGCGGCGTAATCATAAAATGGAGGTCATTTTCAAAATCTCTACAGCTCCGGAAACATAAAAATACACCCTTACATCGAATAAATAAAAAAAACTTAAATAAGTCGAAACGCAGTGGCGTAATCTTAAAATGGAGGTCATTTTCAAAATCTACAGCTCCGGAAACATAAAAATACACCCTCATATGAAAAATATCCGGAAAACTCAAATAAGTCGAAACGCGGTGGCCTAATCTTAAAATGGAGGTCATTTTCAAAATCTACGCTCCGGAAACATAAAAATACACCCTCATATGAAAAAATCCAAAAAGCTCAAATAAGTCGAAACGCGGGCCTAATCTTAAAATGGAGGTCGTTTTCAAAATCTACGGCTCCAGAAACATAAAAGTAGACCTTTATATTGGATAAATTCTTAAATTTAAATAAATCAAAACACAGTGGCGTAAAATAAAATGGATGTCATTTTCAAAATTTACTGATCGGGAAACATAAAAATACACCCTTATATCGAATAATTCAAAAAAACTTAAATAATTCGAAATTCAGTCACGTAATCTTAAAAAGGAGGTTATTTTCAAAAACTACTCATACGATAACAGACCCACACATCGAAAAAGTAAAGATAATTAAATAAATAAAAAAGGTTGAATTTGAAATGGAAAAGGTTTAATTTGAAATGGAAAAGGTTGAATTTGACTTGGAAAAAGTTCAATTTGATTTGGAAAAGGTTGAATTTGACTTGGAAAAGGTTGAAATTGACTTGGAAATGCTATATTTTACAATACCTCATATACTACAATAATCTAGAACTATTGTATTGTATTTTAAATTCTGTTTAAATATAATTTCATTATACACATAGATACTCTAAAGCTCCTTTCTGCAGAAGTGGTGTTTAAACATATCCTAGAGATGAAGTAACAAGTTGAAAAAAAAATATTTAAGATTACATAGCTATTGATTTATATTTAGAATGCTATTGGTCAACACTACACAATTTAATTATGCATAGCAAGGTAACTGGTAAATAAAAAAAGGGAGTAAATTAGTTCTCAGCAGATTTATTTAATTAAAAAATCCAATACAAAAAAAATGCACAGTTATGATAAGACATAAAAAACATAATTTTTTTTTTAATAATGTTCTAAATTAAACTACTTCAACAATCAATGCTGTGAATGGAACAAATATTTATTTATACAGGATATCCTCGGTGAAATTTTAGTAATTGAGAGGAATACAGCCTACCAAAATATATAGATCAGGACCACTACCCTCCACATTTATATCTTAATCTGATGTTGAGATATGATATTTAAATAGTTTTCCAAGAAAACAATGTATTTTACTCATGAAAATATAAATTTCTATAATGGAATTGGACATTTCTTAGCTTATATCACCATTTTCGAAATTCACAATGAATTTCCTATAAAATAGCAACCAATTAGTAGGAACATATTTCTTTGCCAGACTATTATAATGGCCATAGAAAATTAAATAAGTTAAACTAAATTATTTTCAGAAATGGGTACATGGTAGATCATATAATAATTAAATAATGAGATAGTTGGGGAAACAGTCAAAAATAAATGTTCCAATGAGCATGTAGTCTCATCCTCCATTTTAATCAATCCCTTATGTAATCTTCTTCATATTTTCATTCCACTTATTATTTATCACTCATTACTTTATCAGCTATTACTATATCTGTACTAAATATGTTTTAATTATATCTTGACAATGGATTAAGATTTGAATGTTCAGTTGATGGAGCTTAACTACATTTTGGTAAACTGTTTTCCCCTTAATTGCTGACATTTCCTCCTGGGACACAATGTATTTACATTAGCCTAATGACTAGGTAGTAGTAGCTTGAGTAATTCCAAACATAGGTCCAAGGAGTTCACCATATTTTAGGTTTTTCAAACGGTTAGGAACACTGTAATATTTTCTTTCTGAAGCATATACATATCTTTTAGTATTATAAGAAAAAATTCATAAACAAATTTCCTATTTATATATATAAATAGAAATATTTATAATAACAAATCAAGTTCTACAAATGTTTACCTTATTCATAAGTAAACTATACAATGGTATATTCATCATTCCTTTTAACAAATAGATATACATATAATGTTAAGTCTGTTAGGTTAATTTTCAATTATTTCATTATAATTTTTTTATTGATAATAATAATAACTATTTTGTATTAACATTTTGTTAAGATTTAGGTATTTTAAATTTTTAAAAATAGAATACATATTTTGTTTACTTTTTGTTAATAAAAAATCTTGTGTGATTCATCACACAACTTTCGTTTACTACCCTACTTTCTGCATTAATTGTTTTATTAAAAAGTTTAAATAAACTTTAAAAATATCACTTAAATATGAAATACAAACTTAAGACAATTAATATAAACTAATAGGCCTGTGCGAAAAAATTCGCACAGCGTATTGTTATCAAATGCCAAATTAATAAGAAAATAAAATAATGCAGCGTATCAAAAGATAAAGAAATCAATTGTTACTTTATCCATAAATATAATCCACAAAGCTAACAAAATTAATTTAAATCTTCATTTTTGTTTGGAACCAACATATTTACAAATTTCAATAAGCTGTATCTTTGCGAAAAATTGTCCGATTTCAATGATTTTTTTTTTTCCTTTTGTAGACAATTAAGTAATGTTTTATATAATCATAGGAATAGGAGCTTATATTTGGTACAAAACCGATTTCGAGCCTTACTGTAATAATATATGTATGGATGTACGAATAGGGTTAGGGATAGCATTGTTCTGTTGACTGCGTTGCCATAGGAACGCGGTTTGTCTTTCTATTTCATTTTTCCCTCTGCTATTCACTATATGATTCATAACTCCTCAGGATTTTCTACTAATTCAATGTATCTATAATCGTTGGAAAGCTGAGTTATTACTCTTCAACACCATATCAATAACTTTTAGATTTGACGCGTTTAAAAACAATAAATAAAGAAAAACTCCTCAAAGGTTTTTGTTTTATATCTCAAGTCCTATTATATTACTAGTCCTATATTATATATACAGGGGTCTGGTTTGTGTCATTTCGTGTACCTTATTTAGTCCTAACTTAATGTAAATTTTAGTGTGAATATGTGGAGTCATTTTTATTTTATCCCACTTTTTGTGATTTCCAAAGAAGATTGAAGGGGGGAGCCTTGGTTCCGATTTGGTGCAAAAAATTTTTTTTTTTTATTTCTATGAAAATTCGTATTTGAGGCTTTATAGTAGAGGTGGGAAATACAAATCTCAACTCTGTTTTCCCTAAAAAAAATATTTGAACCCACTTTCCTCCTTCGGTCAGTACAAATTATTTCATTGTCGTACTGATAATAGAGCTATATGCCAAATATATAATTATTTTCAAATAAAATGGGCTATAATAGAACTCTCCCAATGAATATTAATCGAAAATACGAAAAAATAAATAATAAAATGAAAAACAAAAAATATTGGAAAAATTTCTAATCAATTTCGATGATTTTTTTTTCTCTTTTGTAGACAATTAGTAACGTTTTATACAATCATAAGAATAACCAAGGGAAACGTGTGTAATTTTTTAGTTATTCGCAAATAAAGTTTCTTTTTTTTCATAACTTGTTTGCCTGAATTTTCGGGGTGATTGGAATATTTTTCCCGCCTGAAGAAGAAGGAAGCCTTCGAAATTGGTGGCTCGATCTTGAGATTTGGTGAAGAATTAACGATGATATGGCTTGCCGATCAAAAACACCATCGATAAATAATATAAACTCCTCCTGTCTCGATCATAGAGACCTCAAGTCGACGAAATGAGACATGCATCCAATGACAGTACTACAATTAACGTCAGGTTGTGTGGATTCGAACCCCATGCCTTGCGTTATCTCGAAAATGGTACGTTTTTGGGCTTAAAAACGCAGGATCCGATAGTTCCGGAGGAACTATCCGGGTCTTGCTGTACACATCAAAATCTTCAAGGTCCAATTTGTCCCGCATTGATCTACAGACCTACCACCGTTCCAGTATTGAAGCCTAGCAAAATGTTTGTATCGACTTTATTTATTTTAGAAAGAAAAACAAAAGCGGAGAATACTATTCGCTAACCCCCCTGTGAAATTCTGAATCCAACGATACCCCATTCATGGTATTTGAGCATGACAGGAGCTTATATTTGGTACAAAACCGGTTTCAAGCCTTACTGTAATAATATATGTACGGATTATATTTGATTTGCCAAGCTGAAAAAAAAATCATGTATTTTAAATGGGAATCCCATTTGATTTCTTTAGAAATATTTATTTCCCTTTTAATATTGTAAAAGTAGACATTATCAACTTCAAAAATTAAAAGCCGCTAACTTTTCATTACTCTCCATAAATCTTATACAACCTAATACATTAGATATAATTTTTTCTTAGATTTATAGTTTTCCAATGATGTACCACACATCTATATTACTTCTCTTTCCAGAAATTTATTTTCAACCTGCAAAAATATTTTGCCATTTTGCCAAAGTACATTACAAATAACAATACCTGATCACATAGAAAAGAGTATGTGTTCATGGACATATATACACAATAAATAATTAAAAGGATACGGAAGCCTAAGAATCCAATAAGCGCTCTGTGTCAACGCAATGGGTTTTTGTTCACCTGTAGTGAATGTTGGGCATGGAAGTGGTGCAGGACGAACTTTTGGATCTATAGTAACAAAAACTGGTGCTTTTGGTGTAACTATATGCACTCTCATTAGTTGAGCAATAACCTTCCTGCAGAAGAATAAAGTAATATGAACATTTAAAATTCTACAATATACAATAAATACAAAACAATAATTTATTTTCTCAAGACAAAATACTTTTAATGTATTCATAGGCGCAGATTTTTCATTCTGATTAGGAGGGAAGAGGGGGGCGATGGATCCAAAAAACAAAATGACAGAAGTTTATATTGTGAATAAAAATTATAAGTGAAAATTAAACTAATCTCAACATAACTTTTCCATAACAAACAATATAATACTGTATAGCACAATAAATTTACATATACATTTTTTTTTTTGTATGGGTATATTAGAAAATATGTTGACAAAACAATTAAATCTAGGACATATAAAATACCTTAATAATAATAATAATAATAATAATAAGGCTTAGCGAACCCGAAGGTTCGATGCCGACACCACCAATCGCTTGTTACACACCTCCCTCCACCGTTCGCCGTCCAAACCCAGTTCCTTCAGATCGGCTTTAATGCAATCTTCCCACCTTCGCGGTCTACCCCTCGGACGCTTACCATTCGGCACAGCAAATATTAACCTTTTAGGAATTCTCTCATTAATAAGCCCAACAACTTTACAAGCCCATTTGATTCGCCGCGATGAAATTACCTCAATTATATTACCCGGATACAGCTCACGCAATTCGGCGTTGTGTAACCGTCTGAACTCTCCGGTTAACTCATCCTTCTTCGGTCCGAATATTCTACACAATACTTTATTTTCAAAAACCTTAAGACGCTGCTCATCCCTTAATGTAAGCGGCCAAGTTTCGCATCCATAAAGAACTGTAGGCAAGATAATTGTTTATGCCTTGATGGTTAAGTTTGACCAAAATACCTTTAACATGAGGGAAAGTAATATAAGAAAAAATCTGGTTTCTCGGCCTAAGGGTCTCATGGTTAATCAACATTAGGAGGTATTAAAGATAGAGCTAAATAAAACAGATAGGAATTATGTATTTAGAAAAAATGAAAAGCCAAGAAGTGGTTCATAGAAAGCCAGCCATGTCAAAACTGACCATGAAAGAAATAGAAGTTCCTGGAAAATTGGTGGTATTGATGAAGAAGGGACGGGTGGCCTAACAGGCTAACAAGTTTGGCAAAACAAGTGTTTCTCGGCAGCCTGAGCAACTAAAGATACTATAATAAAATAATAACAAGTTTGTGGCCCGGTAAGAGGGTGGGAGGGGAGGGGGTTTAACTCTGGCGTTAATGGAGGAGGAAAAAAAGGTATAGATGAAGAAGGTGTTTACAAATTATTCTAAATGCTGAGTCTTGATACAAGGAGAAGTATCCGAAGTCATCAAAGTTTGAGGCAGTGAGATAAGCACTCGCCGATATTGCTCACCTTGGCCTCAGAAAATGTGATAACATCACCACAGAAAAATGGAGGGATGCAAACGAGAGGTGAATAAATAATAAAATCCTAAGATATGTTGCTACATATAATTGCTACATAAATCTTTGTAAATAAATTACAATTTGAATAATTTAGGGCACAGTAAAATACTTGCATACCTACTTTGAGGGCTTAGCCTAGCAATCTAGTTGACTTATCATATTTTCTTCATTGATTTCAGTTTACACATTTTATTTATTTATGTAGATTATTTGTTAATGATGTTAATTATATATTTGTAAAATGTTTGTAATTTGAAATATTGAGCCTGAAGTCTACGCCTATCAATGTATTACCAATTAATCAATCAAATAACATCTAAAATAAGACAAATGTTCATATTCTGAAAACTAAAAAATTAAAAAAATATTTATATCCCAAATTTATCAGTTAGAATTTTAAATCAGAAGAAACTAAAAAAAAAAAATAATAAGGTAAAATAAAATGTTTTGCAAGAACTAACCACTGTAACAAAAAAAAACCCTTTTCAACAGAACAGATGGTTAAGTTTGACAGCCTACCAACACATAGTTTAATTTATTGAATGCCCTAAGCTTGTTGGCTCGGTAAATCATTTCCAACTTCAACACTTCCATCGAGGAAATATCTATCACTGTTTCTTTCACTCTGTTGCTCAAGTAAAAATATTTTTTATTTATTACCTGATACAAATAAATACAAAAAGTTAGCTTTACAAATATAGAAAAGGCACACAAGATGAGTAGCATCACATTACACTGATTAAAAATAAAATCTTTGTTATTCATGTGTTAAGTTTATTCTTCTAAATTCCCAATTGCGAAAAATTCACAACATAAAACAAGTGCGTAATTGGTTTGATTTTATTAACATGAGACTATTCGTAATCAAGTGGACCGGAGGTGACCTAGTAGATATTGATTCATATGTAAAGTTTACAGAATAATTCACATTTCTCATATATTAGTTTTTAACTTTTATTTTTATTTAATATATTTTACTAAGAAAAAAATAATAATAATAAATGAAGTAAAGAATAGGTATATTCCAATATTAATTCTATCATAAAGTATTTATGTATACAAATAAATCAGTTACCAACCCACAAGGACAAGGTAAGAACAAAGGCATATTTCCTTCAGTAATTTTACAAGCATCTTCTTTAATGACACCAGCTCCAGAAGCTTTCAAGACAACTCCTGGTGCAGAACTCATAAATCTGTGTCCTCTTATACATTCATATTCAATACCAATAAAAATTTTTACACTCATAAATTCTGAAACAAAATTAAGTTTGTTAATTGTATAAATCAAAATTTGAAATAAAAACATATCGATCTTCATTATAACAATTGACAAACAAAAATAAATAAATAGGATCAAAAATGTTTTCAAATAATATTCGATCTAATTTGAGGTTTTTTAAATTTTCAATATTTTTTTTTCCAATTAAATATCACAAAGTGAAAAAAAAATTGCGACAACTCCTTTTAAAATATTAATAAAAAAAAGTTACTATGCAAGAAAAGAGTCCTTTTCAAGTTTTGGAACTGTAGCTACGATGGAAAGGCTATCAATACCAAAAGAATAGTTGAAGGTTATAGTTCAGATAATTTGGAGACTGTTGTATTACTAAAAGAGGTGTATTTATGTCTAAGTGTATTAATTCAAAACAAGTGAATTTTTCAGGGAAGGGTAAGAAAAGTGTTAGTACCAGACAAACAGGTTAGAAGAAAAGAGACTCATAGCGTTAGCAAGTGGATTTACAGGTTTCACCGAGGGAGGAAGAATTTCCAATGGGGAGTGGAACAAGATTCATGGGTTTACAATTATAAAAGTTTTTGAATTTGTTGTTTTTGAAAAACAGTTGTAGGTGAGAAAAATTAGAATCAAAAAAGAAGAAAAAATGGTGTTTTGAGGTAAAAAAAAATCATGCAATGGAGATATATGAAACAGTAATATTTTGTAAAATAGTATGATATAGAAAAAAATAAAAGATACACATACATAAAATATGGAAATTGAAATAATGATAATTTATTGGAAAAAGTGGCAGTTTCCTGTTGGCAACAGCACGATCAATTTGTTTACTTGAGGTTATCAACTAATGGCTGTTTATAAATCCTGCAATTTCTCACTTGTCCTGTATTCAAGTTTGTGTTTTTTCTAATTTTTAACTTTAAGAATTAATTTGGGTCCTATTCATAACTCAATAGTACACCTAGACGACTTTTCCTTGGATTACAGCCCACTAATCCCCATCCATCCTCTATACCCAATACCCAAACTTCCCCACAACCATTTATCAGAAAACCACTAAACTGGAACCTCTTCTCCCAAATACTGATTGGTAAAATAGACTACTAAAGTCTATTTACTACAATTATAGGACTACTCCAAAGTGATAAAAATGAACTAAGCCAGCTTTAAACTCAATCCTTTAATGCCTACTTTTCCTCACTATCTTTCTTTGATAACTACATCTGGAAAGTCAATAAAATAAATCCTAAAATACCAACATATTTCCCATCCCATCCTACGTGACAATGCAATAGCACCAGATGAGAAGAGAGGTAAAGAAAGTGCCAAACACCTATCTAATACATTCACTCTGCATCCTAAACACCATCTTACCCATACAGCTGAAGTTAAGGAATTCCTCTCTTCACTTTCCCTACCTCTTAAAGCTATCAACCCTTCTGAGGTCAAATTCCTTATAAATAAACTAAAATCTCCTGGATTTGATCACTTCACTTCTCAGATTCTTCCACAACTACAAAAAAAATATTACATTCCTTACCTACCTACATAATTGTATCCTTCATACAACACACTTCTCTCCACAGAGCAAACACTCTATAATCATCAATTTCGCAAAATAAGGCCAACGTATTAAAAATACTTCATGTTATAGACTAATAAGCCATTTCCTAATCCTTTTCAAAACTTTTAAAAAAATCCTTCTCAAACGTACACTACCTATACCTACACGTACCTATACGTACACAATCACCTATACCTGAATCCCCAAAAAAATCCTTCACATCAGTTTGGATTTCACTCAAGACATTTGACAGCTAAACAAGGTCTAAGCATTGTTGACTATATTTCTTTTGCACTTGAAAGCAATACTGCACTGGTGCCTTTCTAGACATAGCACTATCTTTCAACTGGGTGGGGCACAAAGGCCTACTTTTCTAGCTCAAAACTCATTCACACTAATCTCAGTCCTACCCTTCTGACCATTCCTGCAGAGTACCCTGTGGTGAAGAATTTTTTAATTTCTAGCCAGTAAAGACTGGTGTTCCATAAGGCAGCACTTTGGGTCCCACCCTTTACATTTTCTTTACAGCTGATATACCTTCCTGGCAATATTTCCTGATGACACCACTACCCTATTATTCCATTCTGATCCTGAAAGGATATCATTAAACCTACAGAAGCAAATCTCCTTGATTGAATAGCTGTGCAACAATTTCAACAGCTTTCATTCTCCAACAACATTCACTCCCCCAATCCATTTTCACTCTATACTAATTCCCTTTTCAAACACAGTTCGGTATTTTGGCTACCTTCTAGACAAAATACTAGCATGGAACCCACATACTACACATAAAATAACATAACATTACCAACAATTTGGGCAGGTATATAGACTACTGAATAGAAACTTATCTCTCAATTGAAAATAAAGTATTAATATACAATACCTTACTTAAACCCCTATCGAGCTATGGACTTAAAATGTGGGGAACAGCTAAATTTTTTTAACACCAAATGTATTAAATCTTTTCAGTTTAATATATTTTGAACAATAGCCAATGTTCCATATTACGTTACAACCAAAATCTTGCATCATGACCTCAACATAGCCTTGACATAATTCCATCCAGATTTTCAAACAGATTAACCATCTTAAACCCTTAGGGGAAATCTCTATCCAGTTTTAACTATTCTTATAATCCTCCTTAAACATTGAAACAGCAGAAGCCCCAAAACCTTCTGTGAATATGTTGTTGAAGTTCTGGCAATAGTCAGCTTCTCCATTCAAGTCATGCACATGTATGGCTGTAGTGATCTCACTCAGTATCCACTGGCGTTCGATTCTCATGATACAGTTGGAAGAGCAATGATGGAATCTCCTAGAATCCTGCTTTGCCATCTTCATGTGGGAAAAACTCAGTTCTGGATTAATGTAAATGTTGTACATAGGTATGGATGTGATCAAGATGGTTTATTTTATTATATTTTTGCTCAATATTTCTTTCTCTTTACTGTTAAATATTTATTTTCATTTGTTGTGAACATATATTACTTATTTTATCATTATTATTTGTATTTCTTTATTATTATAATTGTTATATTTATTTTGATTTCTTTATAGTTATTAATATTATGATTTCATTACTCTGTTTATAAGGTATGAATAAGGACATAGAACAGTAATGCTTCTTCCACATGAGTGGCATAGTGCATTGTTTCTAAATAAAAACTTATAGTATAAAAAAAATTCTGGTGCAGTCCGCTTATCATACAACTTTCACTTACCATCCTACTTAGAGTAAAAATATGTCTTTTTATTCATTATATAGGTTGGTTGGTTGTTTGTTTTGATGTTTTAGGCACAAAACATTTAAGTCATCAGCATTCGATTAATAGAATAATTGCATTATTAAAATATTTAGCTGGTAGGAACATCATATATAGAGAACTGAAAGTAAAAATTAAAGATGGTACAGCATATTTAAAACAATTAATTGCTAAATGTTTTTCCCACTCGTCTAATCTATTAAACTTATGTGTTTTTGTCACTAACCATTTATTTCTATGACTGTTGTCATTCCAAAATAAGGATTGGAAATAAAAACTTAATTGGTGTACTATTGTCTTAATGAAATATAAATTGAAATATTATAGGAAACTGAAATAAAAGAAAATTATATTAATAACTTAATACAATACAATTACATTGACCTAATTAGTTTAACCAAATCATTAGAGCCAATTTTTTAGAAATTTGTAAAAATGAGTAAAATCGACTATATAAAGTGGCACTTCTGGTTAGCTGATTTTGATGAAAAAGTTGCTGAAATATCCCAGGCATATACAAATCTTAAATACATAATTTCAGTTTCATATGACTTTGTTTTTGATTAAGACTGTTCTCACACATACACATCCACAAGCGTGCACACACACATACAAACACATCCACATGCGAGTGCACACACACACACACGCACCAATTTGCGAGACTTGGTTATTTGGACTCAGAGGATATGAAAAACTTGAAAATATGGATTTAAAATTTTATAAGTAAATGAATATAAAAAGGAATTAATTCATTATTTGTATTTTATTTTTCCCTTTATTCAAGATGTCCAGTAAGTAGAGGAAAAATTTTATAGGAGTAATAGCAGACCTCAAGACCTACCAAAAAGTACATATAAACAATGGGTCAATTCTCAGCAGAAAAGTAGGAAATCGAAGTTTAGTTTTGTTTTTTTTAAAGTAAATAATGCTTTTTGAAGAATAGGAAGCGATAACTAAAGAAATATTTAATTTAAATAAATAAAAATCATTTTACTGTAAACTAGAATAAATTGTCTTCCAAAATAGAGCTTGTCATTGTTAAAATTATTTAAAGAAGATTTTTGAGCGGTTAAATTTGGCTAAGTTTAGGTTTTAAAAATATCATAAATTATTGGCAATTTTTTTTATCATTATCCAACTATACTACAGATACACCACTTTTAGAAAAAGTTCTTCATTTAATAAGCTTCAAGTCCATATTAATTAAATTGAGGTTTATTAGACAAATTCTTGAGATTCATCTTGAGTTGTGTAAAGAAATGTTATGATTTTTCTTCTTGTCATCTAAAATAACTGTGACTACAATTAACTGTTGCAAAGCTTTTATTTTATTTTTTTTTCCATGATCTGGGATATATTATAATAAAAATAATTTCCTAAATACACTTTTTATTTATAAAGAAAAAATAATAATAATAATGACTTGTTAAATACTATTTGTGAAAAGTGTTTATGAAATTGTATTTTTCTCCCAGATCTCTGTCAAAGGAGTTGATCCGTATTTATAAGTGACAAATTTCATGTTTATAGTTCCAAGATTTATGTTTTTATGAAAATAACTGAAGCAATCACCAGGATTTTTTTGTTTTAAACATAAATTTTAGGACTATAAACATTAAATTTGTTACTTATAAATACGGAGCAATTCCTATGACAGAGATCTGGGAGAAAAATACAGTTTTGTAAATACTTAACAAGAAAAATATTTAAAAAATCATTATTATTATTAAAATAAATCCCAGATCATGAAAAAACAATAAATAAAAGCTATGCAACACTTAATCGTAATCATATTTGCTGAAAACATGAGCACTATTAGGTGACTGGATAAAAGTTGGCATCATTTCTTCACAACATGAGGTGAATCTCGAAATTTTTCTCAATAAACCTCAAGATAATTAATATGACCTTGAAGTTTATTAAACGAAAAAAAAAAATTGCCAATAATTTATGATTCTTTTAAAAACAGAACTTCGCCAAGTTTAGCCATTTAAAAGTCGTCTTTAAATGATTTTAACAAAAACAAATTCTATTTTCATTTGAAGAAAACTTTATCTAGTTTACAGTGAAAGAAATATATATTTCTTTATAAATATATATCCTAACATGTGACTAGATTTCTATTAAAGATAATGTATTTACTGGTAGTTTTATTAATGTAGCCTTTTGCCCAGACAGTTTCTCTATTTAATGTACATATTTGTTATTAAGTGACTTGGTGCTACAATAAAGAATTTTTCTACCTATAAATATGTATATACCTATGTGCATACCTATACATATGTATTAGGATCCTGATAATTCATAATAACAAAGTTTTTGTTTTTATATACTTTACCCTTTGAAAAACGATTTTTCTTACTACCAGTAGTATTTTTAGCAATTATGTGTAGAGAATCTGATGCACGTTTTAAGACTTCAGTTGTTTCTGACTTACATATATCCTTTTCTCTAAAATTAAAATACAAATCAATTACTCATTAATAAAAAAAATTAAGTAAGATAATGAGCAGATATATAAAAAATATTGTATAACATGTGTCTCTCCACTATTTCTAAATTTATTAATGAAATAATAATAACATATAAATTCAAATATTAAATACTTATTAGTATCAAACATATATTACCTAAATGAAACATCCCACGGTAGTAAATATGAAGAGCCTGTGATAAAACCTGGATAATCATGAAGACCTAAATTATGGGAATATAGACTAGATGGTCCTCGACACAGCAATGACCATGAAGGAAACTGTGGAAGTAACCCTACTGGTGATTCAAGATGGACCATCCCAGGAAGATATTCCGTTGTGGAAGCCTGTCGGACTAAATGTTTTTCTGTAAATTATTAATTTAAATGAATTGCTAATCTTTATAAATGAATAATATAATAATTAATTGAATAAGGAATAATATTGATAGGTTTTATTACAATATAATATAATCAATTCCAAACCATGGCTTAATGTTTAAAAATATGTTTAAGAAGAAAAAATCCACTAATTAGAAGCCATAACTAATCCCAGGAAAACCAAAGTTGCATACTTCATATGTCTTAAGAAACAACATCTCAATTTCTCAACAAAAAAAAATTATCTTAAAAACAATTACCTAGGACTCCATCTGGACAAACGTCTCACTTGGAATCCTCATACCAGACTGAAACGACAAGAAACAGTTCGACGTTTCCGACTACTTCAACACTTACTAGACAAACGCTCTAACCTTCCAATCAATAATAAAAGACTCATTTACATGACTATAATAAGGCCTATTTGGACTTATGGAGTTGAGCTATGGGGCTCCACCAAACCTTCAAATTCCTCTCGCATCCAATCCTTACAATCCAAAATCCTTAGTAAAATCCTCAATGCTCCTTACTTTGTTACAAATAAAATTATCCATAATGACCTTAATGTCCCTTATGTATCAGATTTGGCCCAATCCAGATATCTGTCCTTCCATAATAAACTTCATAACCATCCCAACCCTCTTGTCTCTAACCTTGCTTCCTATTCAATTCCTAAAAACCCTCCGAGGCGTCTGAAAAGAAGATGGCCACGTGATCTTCTAATATATACATATTATTAGAGTGCTACCAATGGGTAGTTTCTCAACATGTGTTCCATGTCATTATATCAATATGCGAATTTACCAGATGTATTTTTTGTATACAGTTGTAAATATCATATAAATAAATAAAAAAATCTTAAAAACAATAAAACAGAAATAAAAACTACTAGAATAGAAAATAACAAAAGAAGCATGAGCATAGATATCAAATGTTTGGAACCTGTAGTCACTATAATTAGAGATAGAAATGAAAATAACCTGGCTCCTGCAGTAAAATATTGAATAAATCTCAAAACACTTTTAAAGTATTTTGAATATAAACAATTGCAACATGTCCTCAAATAGATTAATATAACTATAGTAGAAATAGCTTATAATAAATTTCAGGGGATCACAAAATTTATATTTTATAAGCAGTATTCATTATAACCATATATGTCAATAATAGTTTTGAGGAAATTCCGAACTGCTTAAGACATTTATTTAGGTATGCCTATATTTAAACTATTTTGAGTACTGTTAATTTTTTAGCATCTATTATGTAATTTGTTATTAAATATTGCACAAGACAAAACAAACGGATAGCAGCAGCTCAGAGACTAAAGCACTCTGTTCCTATTTACTGAACTTGGGTTTGAGTCTTACTGTGGTTGATAATTATTTAGTCTGCTCCAACAGCTATGGATTGACTCAGGAGTATTGAAGGCAGGAGAGCCACTTGGGATACACCCATCCTTTATAAACTGGGGTAAACTTAATTAGGGGAAAATCAGGCAGTTTTGTGTAATCCTGGCTGAATCACCTCCTTACACAAGCATAAGACAAAACACTTAAAAATGCTATATACATATATCACAAAACCCAGAACAAAAGCGAATGAATTTATTGAGTTAAAATAATTTATCCATTCTTTGTGTTTGGCTTTGGTTACTTCTAATACAATTTTTTTTTTCAAATGCCTTTATCAGAAAAGCTTGTACTTAATTGATATTGGGTCATTTGTACTCACAAAACTTATGCAATGTTCCATGGGTTTTAGCAATATTGGAAATGTTTTCAAACTCAACAATTACCTTCTTGCCACCATCTTCAGCATTAGTAAATTAGTTATTCAGCATTAACACGAATATGAAGTTTATACAAATTGCTCAACTGTTAACCATTTTGACATTAAAATTCTTCCGTCCACTTCTAAAAATCTATAGAGAACTCCACGTTGAAATTTTAAACTTGCTTATTGCCAAAGCTTTTGCTTCAAAGGACCATGTAATGTTAAACAGATAAAAAACATAGTAATTCTTTCTTTTGACATTTTACTGGCTACAAATTCTTCCCTCTAAATTTGAAGAAATGATTGGAAAAAATAAATAGTTAGAACATAAAGGTGAAGTCCATCAGCTTTAAATAATTTCAAAAAATACTTATGGTTCTATTGACTGTCTGAAGTTACGTAACTTTATTGAAAATGTAATTCCAAAGAAATTAGTTAATCAACTAAGAATGTGCTAAAATTTGGCTGAAACATTTAACAGAGCTCTTACTTAATTATTAACAAAAAAATTATCACAGCACCAATATAGAGGGGGGAAAAATAGATCAGCCAAGATATGAAAGAATACAAGACAGACTATGAAATATTGAGAAAATTTCAAGGTATTTGAATCTCAAACAACCGGATATCACTTCACCAATATATATAACATGGATTTTAGGTAACTAAAACTATGTATTGATTTTTTCCTTTTTCTGAAATAATATTGTAATTTTAACTTTATTTTCCTTCCAAATATTTAAAGAGTTAAGAAAATAATCATAATATTGCATACCGTGCTGATTGTTTGAATAACAGTTCAACATAAAATTATTAGCTTGATCATAATATAATGCTGAGAGTGGAAGAGACATTGTCCCTTCACTGCCGTGTGCAGATTCATCAACTGTCCAGACTTTTCCTTAAAAAAAAAGAAAAAGAAAAAAAAAACAATATTTTCATACAATTATATTTAAACTTAAGGAGCGAGGTAGCTCAGTGAGTAAGCACCGACTGACTAAGCTCAAGGTCCCAGGTTCGAGTCTGGCTGATGACAGATAATTTTTCATCAGCAGTGGGTCGACCCAGGGGTTGGGGGATCTTCCTGGGGCACACTTAGACACTAGTCTGATAAGTGGGAACTCTTAATTAAATAAATAATTAAGTGGGAAAATGGGAATAATTCATTGAGCATGATCCCGGCCCGATCACCTCTCTGCACGACTGTTGACATAAAAACAGTACTTCTTTATTAAGAATTGAACCCTGGCTCTTGTAGTGGTAGAGGTTTTATATATTATATATATACATATACACATTAATTTGGTATTGCACACAGACATAGACAAAACACTAACAAAAAGTGATTAAATTATGAGTTATAATATGGCTAATGATATTGAACAAATAGATAATATAATTTATGGCCTAATTCTCAATTTTTAGGATTTAAAATAAGATTTTTGTTTACAACTTTAGCCATTGGAACTTGTAATTTAAATGGTTAATTTATTTATTTTTTTAATGGTTAATGCTTTTAGGAAAGAAATATTCATTTCCTAAATTAAAATGTCATATGGACTGAGGATAAAAGCTCAGCAGAAAAAAATTGGATAGATAATTACTGATTACGTTAATTATCAGTGCTTTACATATTGCTGCCTTTTATATAGTTAACAAGGTAGCAGCTTGAAAATTCTGAGCAGAAAGTGAAGCTGTGATACAATGTTTAAAGTGATAATGGATTGTTTGACTAGTTCTTGGAACCCGAAATTATCTGCAAGATAAAGACCACTGGTGTAGGCCTGGATACAGTAATGGATTGTTGCATCCTCAAGTAGTAACAGTAGCATACCGTGCCTAATATGTTAATGTTGCCAACACCTATAGCCCTTGGAAGATAAGGAAGGGCAGAAAAAAATAACTAAAAGAAGCTGGAATTTTCTAGCATGGCATCCATAAATTGCCAAAAAGATGGGGAAAATGTTTAGCCAGTGATAGACAATAATTTGAATAAAATATTTGCATACAACCAACATGTATTTTCAAAATTCTACGACAATCGCAGAGAGAGAACTCTTCTGAAGAATAGGCTAGTTGCAGGTGGCAAGGTGTTGGAGTAAGGCATTTTAAAGAGAGCCCAAAAGCTAATAAATATATATGCCAGAAACAAGAACTTTCGGGGTAAGAATGGTCCAATGCCTGAAAACTCAATATAAACTACGCACCTTTGCGTGGAGTTCCAGGAGCCACCAGTGGACAGTCGAAGGAAGTTGGGTCCTTCTGTTGCAAATGCGGCAGAGAGTCTGAAACACTAGCCCATGTGCTGGGAAAATGCCCCAACAACTCCCTCCTCATAACATGCCGGCAACAAAGGGTCAAGTTCGAGTTGATGAGGATCCTTAGAAAAAAAAATTCACCTACTTTGACGAGGTCTATTGCATTAACAATGAAGGCTCTACAAGATATTTGCGGATATAGTTGCATTTCCCAAGACAGGATGGACAGGATGGACGCTGATCTTGGATCCTACGTTCTGCTTTGAGAGCAATGACCTCGATCAGGGGAGTGAAGTGGAAAGGGAAAAAAGGAACATTTATGATAAATGTATCACTTTCTTAACAGAGAAATTCCGTGAGATCTTCGGAAAAAGAGAGTTCACTGTGAGAGGCCTATGGTTTGGGTCTTGCAAAACGATTCCAAAAAGAACAAGAAGATTCTTCGAGGATCTAGGTGTTGATCCTGGACTCCCTGGGAATCATTCACTACCACTTGTATAGTAATGTACCATGAATTGAGGATGTCTTTTATCATTTGTTTATATATTTATTCTATTTTAAATTTTTAGCACTGTATTTTCTTTTTGTTTATATTTGTGAATATGTGTGTGTGTGTGTGATTTAGTGTTGGATTCTGAGCATTCAAATTTTTTTTTTTTTAATGTATATGTTATGCAATGTTGATGGTTTAGTGTAGTTTATTAGTGTATTTTATTAGTACTAGTATTATAAGACTAACATAAGTTCTTTGTCGATAAATCATTTAATTATATGTAAAAAAAAATATGATATTATGTACTTTATAAATAAATAAACGCTTCTATCTATCTATCTTATGATGAGGGAGGAAAAAAAGGAAATATATATATATATATATATATATATATATATATATATGTAGTAGTAGAACAATGTAATGTATAAATTATGTTCAAATGAATTGATCGGTATGCTGTGTGTAAAGCAAGCCTATGTAGTAGGGCAGCACTATTTTCAAGAAAGTATTTCTCTCAACATGCCTGCTACTGGACAAGCAATTTTTCCATGGCAAAGTTGGTTGTAAATATGCTTTTACTGTTTTACCTTACCCTGTTCTTTCTAACAAACAGTGTCTTTATGTTGCTACTTATAAGTTGAAAGCATCATACCAAATTAATGACAAAAAAAAATATGCAAGGATGATCAAAATATCTCTTTTATTAGGAATAAATACAAAATCATCTCTGCTAATTTATAATATTTAAAATAAATTATTCCCCACATTTTTGTTTATCTAAAATATAGAAAACAGACTCATCATCACAAAGGAATATTTTCACTTCTACGCATAGAGATATCTCTTCACACTTACACACTAATTTATATTTTATTGACCATATGTTTTTTATTTCTTTTGGTTTCTGCTTACACTTTCTTTTCTGCTATTTTCATTAATTGTAAACGCCTTTTTGTATTTTCTATTTGTTTTAGAGTTTCTTTACCAAACTCTGACTGTTTCCCTCCCAATTCCTCTCATGTCTAGTACCCTAATCACCGGTCATGTTAACTCTCAATCCCTCCCTGCCCACTATGACGAGTTCCTGCAATATTTCACTCAAAACTTTTATCATATTATCGCAATCTCGGAAACTTGGCTTAAACCTTACATCCCATCCTCTTCTGTTTCCTTGCCTAATCACACCCTCCTCCGTCATGACCGGGTAAGCCGGAATGGCGGAGGAGTAGCCATATTTGTCTATAATAGCCTGAAGACTTGAATCCTCAATTCCTCACCATCCTCCGATCATCCTCAGGTTGAATACCTTCTAGTAGAAATCCATTGTAAGGATCTTCCTCTCCTTTACACTGTGGTATATCGTCCTCCCCATGTTCCATTTGATCAGTCCTTCGAATCAACCCTATTCAACTTCGTTCCTCTATATCCCAGAATAATCATCTCCGGTGACCTCAATACCAATTTCCTCTCTAACTCCAATGACAAATCCTATCTAGAAAACCTAATTTTCTCTCTGCACCTCTTCATAGTTCCATTTTCCCCCACCCACCAGCAGGTCAGACACTTGGCTAGACTTCTACATTATAGACTCTGTACAAAATCTCCTCTCCTCTTCTCAATTGCCAGTATCATTCTTATCATCTCACGATCTTATACAAATAACATATAATATCCAAACTCCTTCAATCCAGCCTCGAACTATCACCTTCCGTCACCTAGCTTCCCTTACTCGAGAAAAAATATTACCTGACCTAGAAACCCTAGACTGGAATGGAATATATTCTTGCTCTTCCATCGACTCCATGGTTGACATTCTTACCACCAATATTCTCAATACCCATGCTCCCCTCAAAACCTCTACCTTTCGTCACCGGCCTGCTCCTTGGATGTGTCAGGAAATCAAAGATCTGCAAAAGAGGCGCGACGCTGCCCGAAGACGTTTTAGACGTACGAGGCTTGCAGATGACTACCAAGCGTTCAGGGTGCTTCGCAACTTGGCACAGACAAGGATCCGGCGTGCGAAAGCTTCCTACTTCCATGAAACCCTTTCCTCAGCTCCTGATATCAAATCAAAATGGCTACTGCTTCGTAAACTTTCCATTGGTAATCCTTCCAGATCCCCTACCGCAGCCTATCCTGTATCCTCCGATGATTTAAACTCGGATTTTATATCTGTCGCTAATACCTCTTCTCTACCTTCCTCTTCTGGCTTTGCTCCAGAGATATCCTTTAATGACAATAACTTTTATTTTTCCGACATTTCTCCCACAGACCTGTTAACCACGGTAATGAAATCCCACACCAATTCCATAGGGCCAGACGGCATTCCTGTCAAATTAATAAAAATATGTCTACCTGAAATCCTCCCAGCTCTCCTTTTTATCTACAATTTCTCCCTTCAGAATTCAGTATTCCCTACCTCTTGGAAAAAAGCCATTGTCCTTCCTTTAAATAAAAAGCCTAATCCATCCTCACCCGAGATTTCCGTCCAATTTCAATTCTTTCTAACCTCTCAAAGCCTCTTGAAAGACTGGTGCAATCCCAAGTCTCCAAGTTCCTCGAAAAGTCCAACCAATTTGATCCTCTCCAATCTGGTTTCCGTCCCGGCTATTCCACACAATCTGCCTTAATTAAAATTACCAACGATATTCAATCTGCAATAGATGATAGAAAAGTAACTGTCCTTATTCTTCTAGACTTCTCCAAAGTATTCGATTCCATCAACCATTCCATCCTCTACAACAAACTAAAATCATTATCTTTCTCCAATAGTTCCATCTCTTGGTTCCAATCTTTCCTCTCCCAACGCACCCAAGCAGTCTCCATACCCAACCAACCACTATCTGCTTTCCTTTCTTTATCCTCTGGAGTTGCCCAGGGTTCAAGCATATCTCCTCTCCTTTTCAGCTCCTACATTAACGACCTACCTAAATCAATTCTCCATTGTTCCCATCACCTTTATGCAGATGATTCCCAGATCTACCTATCCTTTTCTCCCTCTGAGTTACTGGGGGCATTTGCCAAGATTCAAGAAGACCTTGATCGAATCAATGCCTGGGCAAATGTAAATGGATTAAAGTTAAATGCTGCCAAAACTCAGGCCATTGTCATTGGTTCCAAGCCCCTTATTAGATCCCATACTGACTTTCCCATATTACACCTTAATGACCAGCCAATCTCCATCTACTCCTCTGTTAAAAATTTAGGATTTTTCATAGATCAAACCCTCTCCTGGACCTACCATATTTCTCACATTTCCCGTCGGACAATTTCTACCCTTAAACTATTTCATCGCTTCCGCCATCTCCTACCTCAACATATCCGTAGACTCTCAATTTCCTCTCTTATCTTCCCTCACTTTGACTACAGCTGTGTGGTGTATGATGGCCTCTCGGTGGAGCTCCGTGATAGACTGAAAAGATTAATGAATAGCTGCGTAAGATTTGTTATAGGTGCCCCGAGGTACTCCCATGCCTCTCACCACTACACTGAGTTAAGGTGGCTCTTCCCCTCCTTCCGAAGACAATATTTTCTAGGTACGTTCCTCTACCAAATCATCAACAACCATCGTCCTTCTTACGCCTACAACCTTCTCCAGTTCAAATCCTCAGTCCATTCCCAGTCCACAAGATCTCGACCTTCTGACCTTTTACATGCCTTCTCACAGATCTGCCTCATTCCAAAATTCAATTTTGGTTCTGTCAATTTCTGGAATTCCCTCCCTATCAAAATTCGACATTCCCCCCTCCATATCCACATTCAAATCCCTCCAATTCCAATTCCTATCACAAAAACAGTCAGATACTTGCTAACCATTCGAGCGGATTTTAATAGAGAATTTGATACATTTTTATTTTTTAATTCTTTATTTTTTTCGGAAAAGTGTATACTGGTCTATAAGAGAAAATGGCTTTAAGTGTCTTGTTATAGTATTAATGGTTTTGTATATAGTTTAGTTTGTTTTGTATGTAGAATTTTTACCTTATATTTTTTTACATTATTTCTTTTTTTTCAATTTATTTTATTTTGGCCAGATGTAATATTTTAATTTTGTTCTATTTTGTTATTCTTAAGGGACTGTGTCCCAGAATAAAGTTATTTTTCTATCATTTCTATCATCACTATTTATTGGGGTAATAAAGGAATCTTTGGTTTAGATTTTAAGGATTTATTAAATATTATACTATAATTTATACTCATTAAGTAATGAAACAGTTGTCTTCACTACTTACTTATTCGTTAATGGTTAAATGTATATTCACTTCAATAAAGAACTAATTGAATAAAGAACATTGGAACAACCTATAAAACATCAAGAAAATTTTATTTAGAAATTGTTAATCAATAAACAGACTTACCAATACTGAGGGAGTCAGATGGAATATTTAATTCTTGAAATTCATTCTGAAGATCTTGGATACTATTACCAAAAACATCAAGATGTGATGATGGATTACTCAAATCTGCAGCTCTAAACATATAAATAATGACAGAAAATTAAACAAAATACTTTAACTTTTCTAGAACTTTCCCAAACTGAATAAAACATGTATTACACAAATGAATTAATAAGTTTTAAATATGTTTATAACCACAAAAAAAAATAACCAACTAATATTATTAATTAAGACATTGTTTGTGCTTTAAATAAGTCGAAAATGAGTAGGTTTTCCATTATTAATATAATAAGAACTTATTCTAAAATTTGCTTTTTAGACTGTAATAAACCTATTTAGAAAATGAGAATCCTCCCTCATTACTAAATGTGTTTAGAGACTTATTTACATTAATACTACTTTTTGTTAAGTAATGAAAAGCATTTTTATCAATTTCTATGTGATACCAAATTTTTCTTCACATTTAAATTAAAGTGCTACACTTTTCGTGAGACATTTTTAATAGTTTTCTACTAGTAAATTTAACTGTTAAGATTAAAAACTAAATAAAATTAATTTTTCACAAAATATTGATAACAAATAAAAAATAAAACTTACTTATAATCACTTGTACTAGGCTGGAATATAGGAAAAACAAATTTTTCTAAATGTATACAACCACATTCTTGAGCAATTATTTGATAAAAGTCAAAATTAGCAGCCCGTAAAGTAAAAGGATCTTGACGAGGACCTTGTTTGGCACCACAGTTGCAACTAGAAAAGAACTGAATACCACTCCAATGCTCTGACTCACTAGAAAAGAAAAAAGAAAGTCAGTTGATTACAGAAAAACACTGTTTTAACAATTTTCAGTCACCTCAAAACTCAGATGCTTAAAATATGCTTGAACATAACACTAAAAACTGTATAAAATAATTTGTACTAACTCCTCCCCCCCCCCAAAAAAAAACACAAGACAAGCCATCTTGAACACAAAACCATTAAGTATAAAAATAATTTATTTTTCCAGCATTGTAATATTTTCATATTTAAATACATTGATCATGGCATAATAGAAAATTGAATGACTTTGAAGTAAATGGAAAATTAAAACATTACAGTAATCTTAACCGAGACGGCCACAAAATATTCCTCAAATGAGAGTAAATAATGCACTTATACATAGATTTATAAAACTTATAAGGACTTATCAATGAAAAAATATTGACTTTTAAATGTTATACTAATTATAACTGAAATGAAGATAACAAAGCTGGGCAAATATTTCCACATTTTAACAGAAACTCTACTTTAAGTATTGCTAATATGTTGTAATTATACTGAGAAATCTCTTCTAATTTTTCACTACGTTTTCACCCAGTTGCTGCCTGGTGAATCAGACAACAATCACTCCTGGACCATATTATCTCTGAAAGAGCAGAACGTCTACACATGGTTCATATCATGTGGATTAATTTTAATTATTAGCCTACTGTATACTTCTTTAAATAGTTAGATTGTGTATCTTTCTCTAAACTTATCTCCAGATTACCTCTAAGGTAACAACTCTGATGGCCTCTCAAAACACATTAATGGCCAAAGAGTATTCAAAGATTCTCCTTGTTCCCATGTGAGAGGGGCAGACCTACTCTTTCATTTGAGGTTTAAAGACATTAAAATCTTATTCATTTATTTCGGTAATAATAATTGTTACTAACTTATAATGACAAGTTTGCTTTTATAAATATTCAGCAAGAATAATGTAAATGAAGCTGACTTTGTAATTTTAATTATTCTTAGGGGACTTTTGCAGCAGAATAAAATTATTTTTTCATATAATTGTATACTTTTTATAAGGTACAACTTTGCAAGGTGCTGAAGAGCACTTGATGCTTTTCTCACTACCAGAGGAATATACCACTTTCTGGTACAGGTTCAATAGCAGCATCAAACCTGAAGGTTAATTAAGCTCTATTATTATAATTAACAAAAGTCAATTATTGTAGCAACATTTTTAAATAAATTATTGATAGACAGAGAAATTACAACTAGTGAACATTTAAATTTAGTGTAAAATCATTGCTAAAATAGAAAATATAAATCATAACTTGATTATTCCCAGATATAATAAAAATACTTTACCCTTGTTGTGCATTTAAAGAAACTCCACTAGAATGTTTAGGTTTGGTACAAGAATTTTTATTTAAACTCAGAGCTTCACATGTCTGTCGTCCAGATTTCCAAATTTTTTCACATTCTTCTTTTAGTTGTTCTATGTATTTTTGTTGTGCTGGTCCACGGGCATGGTGTGAAAAAACACTCATAGCATGTTTAACCTTGAACCAAATGAAAAGAAAATATGAAGGAATAATCATTAATTTTATTTGTTTTTAAGATTTATTGAATACCATTGTTGAAAAGTTGTTTAATTTCCCAAATATCCCAAATATTAGATACAATAAAAATCATGTTACAAAAATATTTTATGAATTTTCCACCTATTTAATCACTGTCCTATACTAAAATCCTTTAAATAAAAGATAACAAAGTTTGGATGGAAGTAGGCAAATATATGTACATATCTTAGTTACATTTTTACTTTTACTTACCTATATATACAATATATAGTAAGGGTAAATATTGTGATCGTGAAAATGTTTGAGTCTGAGTTTTCAATAGAAATACATGTTTTGAGGTCTCCTGATTCGAAATAACCCTGTCCTGCAAAATGGTGTGTGTGTATGTTATCAGTCTAGCTCAAAAACAAAAAGTCTGATGAAAGTGAAATTGCATATTTAAGGTTATTATAAGCTTTTGATGTTACAGCAACATTTTCGTCAAAATCGGCAAACCAGAAGTGGTACTTTATATGATCGATTTAACACATTTTTATGATTTTCTCAAAAACGGCTAAAACAATTTTGAATAAACTCAGTATATCAGTGTGTTATTAATCAGTTTTTAATATAATGTAGGTTTTATTCTCAGTGCTGTTCTCTATCAGGGCTTAAATGGCTAATTTTCAATATTGGCTTCTTCTAAAGTACCTTTATTTTTTTTTTTATTTGAAATAATTAACATTTCACATTAATATTTGATATAAAAAATAGTTAAATATAACATATGAAAGAACTTGATAATTAACTAAAGGAGAAATAAAAGATAGTAACAGATAATAGTTGTAATAGAGGGATCAAAGGAATACAAGCTTGCCCGAAAGATTACAACAGGCTTCCATACGTAACATGAGCTTCATATAATACGGACTCCGACAATATTATGTACATATACATATGCGGTTTTCATAAATGCTATCGATGGTATTATTTAATATTTAATTGTATAAAATACAGTGATATAAAAATTAAAATTTGTATATATAATGCTGAAGTATATGGGAGCAAAAGGGCAGGAAATGTTTCAGCACCTACTGAATTTGGTATGGAAAACGAAAAAAGTAACCAAGGACTGGGAAATTTCAGTCATAGTACCAATTCATAAAAAAGGAGACTACCGGGAATGCCAAAACACAGAGGCATTTCACTACTTAGTGTACCATGCAAGATATACTCTAAGATTCTGGAGAAGAGACTAAGAGGATTCATTGAGAGAGACCTAGAAGAACAATACGGCTTCAGACCACAAAGAAGTACCCAAGACCTAATATTTGTAAGGAGGCAGCTCTCGGAAAAGCTCGTGGAAAAGAATAAAGAGGTATATACCTGCTTCGTGGACCTAACCCAAGCATTCGATAAGGTCAGAAAAACGGACATAGACAGAGCACTGAATGAGCATGAAGTCGATCCAGGCCTAGTGAGGGCCATTCTTAGCCTATATAAAAATAAAATAAGCGTGGTCAGAACCAATAACCACACCTCTAGAGAGTTTCAGAGCACCCAAAGAATAAGGCAGGGCTGTAGTCTAAGCCTTTATTATTTATAATAGTGCTCAACATGGCATTGAAGAGAGCTAAGGAAAGAATGAGACCTTTTAGGTTGGGCCACAGAGAGCTACGACCAGTTCATCTCACCCTTCTGGCATATGCTGACGATATCGTGGTATTCAGGAACAACGGAAGAAACTTCCGAATCCTACAGGAAGAATTAGAACTGTTCAACCTGGAAATAAATAGCCACAAGACAAAAATTATGAGGATGGGAAGAGGGGAAGAGAGGGGAGATCGAGTACTTCGATTGAAGGGGGAAGAACTAGAGCACATCAAAGATTTTAAGTATCTGGAAGCCCACCTAAATGAGAACGGTTGGATAGATGGTGAAATCAGAGAAAGAATAAAACTGGCCAGCAAATGCTTCCATTCACTAAAAACAAGCTTCTTAGATTAGAAAGAAGTATCAAAAAATGTCAAGAAGACGGTGTATAGAAATACATTTGTCCCCATACTGACTTACGGCAGTGAATCCTGGACTATATCCTCAAAACATAAAAGCAATATCCAAGCAATGGAAATGCGATTTCTGAGGAGAATAGAGGGGAAAACTAGGAGGGACAAAATTAGGAATACAACGAAAAGAAGCAATTTGGGAATAAAACCAGCAGAAAATACAATTGAGGAAAACAGGCTACGCTGGTTTGACCATGTCAAAAGAATGCAGGAGGGAAGAATGGCCAAAACTATATATGAAGTAAAAGTGGAAGGAAGAATGGCGAGAGAAAGGCCCAGAAAGACCTGGGAAGGTACAGTCAGAGAGGATTTCGATAGGAGAGAAATGAATTGGAATAGACACAGTCAGCTGGTGTGAGAACAAGATAAATGGATCAAGCACTATAAACAGGATCCTCTACACTGATCTAGCGGTAGAAGAGGAATTGATTAAGAAGAAGAAGAAGGGTATTTAAACAAATAAAAATACCCACAATGAATTGTAAATAAATATAGTGTCAATAATTTTTACTTTTGGTTCCCCTTCGTCTGAAAATACTTATTTCTGCTAAGAAGAGGGTGGTAAGCAAAAGTCATGTGATGCGCGCACCAGATTTTTCTTTACTAAATCTAAACTTTAGTTCAGTAAGTAGAGAAATAAAGCAAAGCCGAAAAAGAAAGAAAAGCTACTAAATTAAAAGCTCTAAATAATCCTAGAAAAATAAAGAAAAGCTGCTAAAATAAAAACTCTAAATAATCCTAGTGAAAAGAATCTTGAATACTTCCGAGCCTTAAAGAATGAAACAACTAAATTGCTCATAAATAAAAAAAGAGAGTATCTTAAAAATAAAATAACAGAAATAAAAACTAATAGAATCGAAAATAATGTAAGAGAAATGTACAATGGTATAAATAGATCATTGTAAAAAAAAAGACATATTAAGTAAGTTTAAGAACCATTTTGACAATATTTTAAATATGGGAAATAATGATCTCTGTCTTCCCTCTGAGGACAAGAGTATTAAACCGTTAATAGAATAATCGACTAAAGAGGAAGTTAAAGTAACTAATGGAAAATTAAAATCATATAAAGCAATGACAACTGATAGTATTCCTAGTGAACTAATTAAGGCATGTGGCAAAGCTAGAGTTGCTAATAAACATTTATTGGTTAAAAAGATCTGGGAGAATGAGAAATTGCCTGAAGAACAGAAAGAATCTATTCTAATTCTGATTCACAGAAGGGCTCAAGAACAGAATGTCATAATTATTGAGGAATCTTTCTCCTTCTGGTATGTTATAAAATATTCACATTAATCCTTAATAATCAAAGTACGTAATACACCAAGGAAATTATTGAAAACGGGAAACATTAGAGAAAAAATTAGAGTACAATGGTATTGTTCACCAGCTGTATATCGATTTCAAAAAGCTTACGATTCTGTTGACTGCCAGATGCTGTGTAATATTCAAATCAAGCAGGGGATTCCAAACAAAATAATAAATCTAGTTACGATGTGCTTGACGGAAACATTCAATAAAGTTAAAATTAGATATTATTAATCCGAAAAGTTTGAGGCTCGTCCGGGGTTAAAACAAGGTGATTCCTTTTCACCTGTCCCTTTTAATTTAGAATTAGAACATGCCATTAGATAGGTAATGCATAAGGGTTGAATCTGGGTGGAATAATACTTAGTTATGCAAATGATTTGGTCCTGCTATGCGAAGACATGGAATCTATAAAACTAAATACAGCAACGTTTATGAAAGCCAGTAAATAACTGGGGCTCGAAATAAATATGGATAAGACAAAATATATGGTTAGTTATAAAAATGGCGACAATTTTAGTGATATAGACAGGAATATGTTCTAACACTTAAAGAAGGTTAGGTGGTATATTGGGAGCGAAGAAGTATGGGTCAACCAGAGAATTTAGATGGTTACACAGTGCCAAATTGTGCTAACTGCATTCGGTGAATATAATTATACAAACTAAGCTAGGCAAATAAAATGGGCGTATAAAATTATTGGGCTCAGCAATGAAAGATTAATATCAAATAAATCTGAAGAATTAAAAAAAAAAACAATGTTGTCAGTTCACCTTATTTTTTATGCTCTTTTTATTTATTTTTTTTATATTTACCACTTTAGTAGAAGTAAACACATGTTTTTAACCTTCTATCACAAGGTGTTGACTTGGTGTCTATAGTGATTGATAAATATTGTTAACTTTTAATAAATAAAATTAAAATGATTAGACATAAAATAGATTGCTTCTCTTTAATTATTATAGAGCAATGTAACTTAAATTGTTATGAGAAATCATTAAAAAAAAAACTAGTCAACTTAAAGTTGGATCTCACAATGCTGAGCCTTTCCCAATAAATAAACTCCTCCAGGAGTCCAGTGCATCACCCTCTATGTTTAAGATTTTTCTTGAAATATATTTTGGATGACAAAAACTCAAATGTTTTGGATGGAGGACACCATTTTAAGCCCATGGGGAATCATTAGATAGAAGAGGTATTACTTAACTTATCATTTGGAGAAGACCAAGTCATCATTCCACAGGAAACAGATGTTGGTCACAAGCTGAGAAAATTAAAAGAGGTATATCAACAAAGGGGACTAGTTATTAATGCTAAGACAGAATTTAAGATATCCAGTAATGTTGACCTTATTAATGTCCTGAAACCTGGAGAGGTATTGAAAAGAGTTTAGCACTTCAAATACCTTGGCTCCATAATTCAATTGGACGGTACCTGCAACATGGAAATAAAAAGGATTGCAGATAAAAAAAAAGATCATATTTATGGTCAACCCCAGTATTAGGAGTAGACATATTTCAAGAAAAATCTTAAACATAGAGGGTGATTCACTGGACCCCTGGAGGAGTTTACTTATTGGGAAAGGCTCAACATTGTGAGATCCAACTTTAACTTGACTAGTTATTTTTTTATGATTTCTCATAACAATTTAAGTTACATTGGTCTACTCTAGTATTAGAGTAGGAATATTATTCCTAAAACTGAAAGAAATGTTTCTAAAAGAGTAATATTGAGCACATTGACCTGTGAAGTAGAAACCTGGACCATTAAGGACAACCTTACGAAGAAACTGATGGATACAGAAATAAACTACTGGCAATGAGCAATGCTAGAAAATATAGAAGAGAAAAACATTTTGTAAGAAATTGAAAAAGTCACTAAAGTGGTAAATAATCTCCTCTTTTATCTCTCTTTAAAATAATCTTCTCTTTTATCGCTCTTTAGAGAGAAAAAATAGATTTTCGTTTAATTAATAATTAATTTGTAAACAGGATCTTCCTTTCCAATATTAATTGTTTTCTATTTTCAACCAGTTGAATCAACGTTTCAAATTTCAACTCGTCTTCAGTTTATTTAACATTACCAGTGACTCATTATCCCATCATTCTGAGTTCAATTTTGACTTTTTCATTTTGAGGCATAACTGAATAAATCAAATCACTATCACACTAACCTTTGGCTTGAATGGACTACTGTAAGAACTCACTGACAAACAGTGAGATTATCTAAAATGGATAAAATAAGAAAAGAAACAATACGAGAAAATATGGAAATAGAGAAAAACATTTCAGAAGAGATTGAAAAAAGTCCCTCAAGTAGTACGGGCTAAATGCCATTTTAAATAAAAGAATGAAGGAAGGTTCCCAAGGGAGTTGTACTTGAAGAATTTTTTTATATAACTTGACCAGTAAGAATAATGAGTCTTGGACAGAAAAATATGGAAGAAGGCAATTGGTTAAGAAAAGTCAAGTTTTGTGAAAAATTCTAAATTATAATAAAATGGTAACATAATTGCAATGCAACACTAATAGCAGTGAAGAAACAAAATTGATTCTTACTCTTTTTTCATGTGTAACTTGATTATAATGAGAAGGCAAATTTTCTTGATAAATAGCAATAGCCAATGGTAAAACTTTCTTGCAGCGTGCACTGCTAAACTTGAGCTCAGTACCTAGAAGTTTTTCTAAATAATAAGAAGCACTATTTAACTCAACTTTTTCATTGTCAACTTCAGACAAAACACAATTAACAGCCTTGATCCAACTTTTGAGTGTAGGTACCTTTAAAAAAAAATATTGAAATAAAAATTGATTTACCACAGAATCCATTTGTATCAGGAAGAAGATGAAATAATTTTACCTCAAAAAATGGTTTTAAATTTGAATATTTTCCCATATTATCACTAAAACCCTCATTGTGAGCTTTTCGTATGTGTTTCATTAAAAAATCCTTAAAACAGTGGGCTGCAAACAAAAAATAATAAAAAAAATATTATTAAGCATTGAACTTTTTATCATATTTTAGCAATATCTATCCATATTAAATAGCTAACTCTAAATATAACATACATGCTCCGGTCGAAATAAACTTATGCTCATAAAGCTGATGTTTTTCATTATGCTATTCACTTATTCAGTGGTGTCTAGTCATTACAATATCATAAGTCCTAATGTATAGAAAATGAGTTAAGAGTCATTATTTTTAAAAAGAATTGTTTGAGGGGCTGTGTATCATAGAAATCCTCTGTCTCCTTCTGCCACTACTTTGTTTTTTTGTATTTTTTTACTTTTACTTGTTCCACTGATATTTAAGTATTTTATAAGGGCTAATAAATTATAATTTCATTTCTTTAATTATAAAGGAGGAATAAGGAAAATATGAAATCTGGTTTCAAGGATAGGATGACTATGATTAATTCAAGAGGAACACAAGTGAGATCATTATTTTTGATAAACATTAATAATAGACAAAATACATACAAATATGCACATAAGCTGTCTGTTCAATACAGTTTACTACCCTTTTCAATAATTCTGCTTGAATCGTTATGAATAAAATAAATTTATTGAGTTTTATCAGACATTAAAACAGACAAAAGCAGGTTGCGGAGTTTTTGTTGAACTAAATTTAAAAAAATATATATAAAATACATTAGCTATTAATGCAATTAAGGCTTTTTCATGTCTGTCCTTATTGTAATCATTACAACTTTAATTTTTTTGTTTTAAACCCATTTCAAGCTTGTGTTCTACAGGCTCATACAATCATATGTTTTGTGTTTGCTTCTTTTTCTTGTAGATCACACATTATTTTTGTATGCAGTGGACTGCATGTATGCTAACATTGGATACAAAATGTAACAACTTTCATAATATCAGGAGGGAGATACTCTAATTAGTTCTTCCCTAGAATCAAAAAAGTACAAAGAAACAAGCACCAAGAATTTATACATTGCTGTCACTTTTCATGATCTTTTCATAGGCAATTCCTTTTATCTACATAAAATGGTTCATAAGATAACCTTTTCAGCACGGGAAAGATATATTAATAGTGTGATTGACTACTTTCTGGAAATCAGGAGTGACCATATGCTGTTGATCGTTGATAGCAGAATTCCTTCTACGAAAAAGCCTCAGCCAAAAGCTTATAAAAGGATTGAAATGAAACAGCTGCAGGATATTTGGAAACTAATGCATTATGAGAACAAGCAAAGGAATTAGCTGAATGAACTAAACTTTGATGAAGGCTTAGATGAACTATGGCTGAAGCTGAAAGCAGCCATATTAGAATCAGTGACTAAATAATGCAGTGTGAAGAAAGTCAAAAGGAAACGTTCGGACTGGTAGAGTGAAGAACTTAAAAGCTATTGTAAAGGAAAAGAAGATCTTATGGAAAATGTTCTGTATGGACAAGACAAATATGAACTCTACAAAGTTGCTGGCTAGGTGGACGAATGGGCTAACGTGTGTGCACAGCAAATGATAAAAATTAGTCACAAGTTCGTGTCCCGGTTAAATCCCCGTTCACATCCCCTGGCCCCACATAGCCTTAAAGGCGAGGAACCCCCCCCCTCCCAAAAAAAGTTAAAACCATTGAGGTGAGGCCGGTGGGGAGAAGACTGAGAGAGTGACTAAGAACCTCATACACTAGCCATCTGAAACAAATTGGAAGACGAAGAGGGAACACCCAGGAAGAGATGAGCAACCTTGCCCGGAACAGGGATGCATGGAACCGATGGCTGAAAGCACCCCCATGCTGAGAGGCAAACGGGTGGAAGAGAAAGAAGATTATTATATATTAGTCAACATTTCAGGGAATCTCTGCCCCCCTCTTCAACATACAATATGCCCCAAAAATTGGTGTCACGAGATGCTAATAAGTTTGGTCAATGATGTTCAACTAAATATTGACCTATTGGGGGAAAAAATTGTTTATTTATGAAAAGATATATATTTTTATTTCTCCTCTTTTTGTAACTCACATAATGTTTTAATTATTATGTTTTATGAAGGAAAAAAATACAATAAAAATTTGAAATCATTTTCATCTTTCCTCTAATTTCTTTTTTTTTTTTTTCTTAATGTAGCTGCATGAGTATATTTCAATGTTTCAGCTGTCTCATTGCATATAACATGGTTTATTCTGTGGGTTTTTACTGCATAAAAATCCAGGTTCTACTTAAAATAAAAAAATAACTACTTTGGAAAGAAACACCCATTTCTGTCCCCGATAAAACAAATTTAATTTTAAATGTGATGTATTATATAAAATAAAAATAGATCAAATTTTTACTTATATAAATACCTGGAACTTCAGGTCCATCCAAATTTTCTGCTAAGTCCCAAATATCAGGACCTAAAACAGTTTGAAAAATAAGAAAGAAATAATAATTCAAATAAAACTTCACAAAAAAAGAAATACACATTTAAAAAATCCCTATATACTATACTATATATATAATCACTATATATTTAACTACTATTTTAATAAAATCTCTTATTTATAAATCCAACAAAAATAAACAATTAATGAATATTTATACTAATATTTTATCTTTATTATTTAATTAATTTATTATATTATATATTTATTTTTATTAATATTCCAACAAATTAATAAAAATATACAAGAAATATAATTACTGGTTTGTCTGGGAAAAAATAGTAAACAGATAGCATTTTAAACTCAAAGTGAAAAACGATAGTCACTTTAGATGTCATAGATGATTCTTGATGTGTTATAATAGCAGCAATTATGACAATAAACTGGTATTTATAATGGTAACATGATAAGTTCAGGCTCATGCTATTTACTTATCTCATTAGTGTTTTCCTTTTTTCTTCTTCTTTAGAGAAGCTTCTTATGGGAAGGAGATTAGAAAAAGAATCAGTTCCTAGTGAGTGGAGGCTGATTCTTCTTGATTTAGACAGTAGCATATGGAAAATTTTTGCCTACTTTTCAATAGAATTCATCTTTTCATATTCCAATCCCCATTCTAGAAGCCTGGCATAGAAGTGGTCTCAGTATACATTATGTGTAGAACATACTTTGGTAGCAAGATACAATAAACGGTATACCATAAAAAAATTGGAAATTTTACTAGTGAATGCTTTATTCTCCCTGCACAAAGAAAACTGGAAAGAGTGAAGCTGCCTGTATGTTCTTGTTGTTAACCGGAACAAATTGTTAATATATGTTATCAAAATAAGGGAACACGCGAAATTGAACCAAAAAATTGAAAAATACATTAAGAGAACAAGGAAGGAATTGCCAAAATCACGGTAAAGAAAACAAGGATCAGTATCCAGTACATGGCTAAACGAATATATAGTAGAAAAATGAAGAGAATATTTCATGGAGCTGTTAAAAAGGGAGTCAAATGCTGGGGCAATTTGGATGATATTTAGGGGACGATGGAGGGTTATTATGGTGAAGACCATTTTATCAGCAAGAAAGATTATTTTAAAGCAATTGGCAAGTCATTAGGTCTGGATGAAGTAATCCGAAATGCTGTGCGTACATAGACAACAAATGTGGAGATACATTTCTCCACTTTTTCAATGTATATAGAATAATATGCCCTTACAAAATATGATAGGATTGTAGTTTTGCCCCTTTACAAGCAAGGAGATACCAGGAAATGTAACACCCACAGAGATTTATTCCTGTTCAGTGTGCTAAAGAAACTCTAATCTAGAATAAGAAATATTGTCGATTGCCAGAGTGATATGGATTGAGAAACTAAAGTTGTACATTGGGACTATCTTCACATTAAGGCAGGTTATAGAGAAGTCCCTCGAGAAAGGGAAATAGGTCTCTATCTGCTTAGTATGTCACACTTTAGATTGTGCAAATATCAACTTGTCGTACAAAAAAGCTCGCTGTATGTTTTTCTTTCTGATTACTTCAAAGATCTTTTCCAAATTCACTAAACAAAAGGAGAACAACTTCCCTTTCACGATGTAACTCTCAATAACCTACTTTTAAGTGAAGATAGTCTCAATGTGCAACTTATGTAGCGATCGAAAATAAAATGGTCTTCACCATACTAAACCTCCATCGCCCCCTTAATATCATCCAGCATTTGACCCCCTTTTAACAGCTCCATGAAATATTCTGTTTATATGGCTACTATATGTTCGTTTAGCCATAGAATGGATACTGATGCTTGTTTTCTTTTCAGCAAATTTAGTAATTCCTTCTTCGTTCACATAATGTATTTTTCCAATTTTTGGGTTTAATTTCGAGTTTTCCCTCATTTTGGTACCATATACTAACAATTAGTTCCGATTACCAAGAAGAACATACTGACAGCTTAGCTCTTTCCATCTTTCTCTGTGCAGAGAGAATAAAGCATTCAATATTAAAATTTCCTATTTTTTTATTAGTGATGTATGCATGAGTTTTATTAACAACTTGGCAACTATTCATTATATGTAGTTCAGATTAATTATCTATTTTAGTTTATAAAACAGGTATTAATTATCCTTTATTATTTCTTTTATTTATTCTTATTCCTTTATTTCTTTTATAATATCATTTTTGACGTTTCAGCCAGCACTTGGGCCATTTTCAGGTCTGAAAATTTATTATTATTACATTACAATTTAATTTCTTTTTCAATTAAAACATTAATTTTATTTTACAAATATAATGTATCTTATTCATCAACTAATTCTTTCATTTATTTATTTCTTACATCATTATTTATACATTTTCATTTTCCCATCATGTATATAATTTTTCTATATTTTTATGAACTTTATTATTACCTCAAATCAGTCCTCCAACACCGTATCCATAGTCATTATCTTTTTTTCTTTAGTTAAGAAGAAGTAAAAATATCCAACTCATTTCAGGTTTCCGCTTCATCATCTGAGGAGGGACTGACTATAATCATCGAGGGGGGCAGTAAAAAGGAGAGAGATTTTTCTTTATTATTCTGGATTTGTTTATTTATTTTATCTAAAGTGTGGTTTAAAAATCTGATCTTTTTTATTATTTTATTACATCAAAATAATGTTAATTACATTTGCGTTGAAAGTATTTATATTTTCAACATTGATCTGGTTGTTTATAGAATTCTTCAAATTTTTCACACATACATATATATATATATATATATATATATATATATATATATATATATATATATATATATGTTATATATATATATTTTTTTTTTCGGTTGGGGGTTTTTCAGTTGGGGCTACAGATCATGAAGATCTTTGTCCGCGTGATGTGGTCTCCTAGACCACATCCCGATTCCTGATTTAAGTACACAGGGGTAGTGTCATCAGTCCTACGCCCGGTCGGTGTGAGTTGCCTCCAGTAGCCTGATGGGCCTCATATACTGGAGGGGGTCTCAGGCAGAGTGGCTTTCCCTGGTGGACGGCTACACAAATCGGGCAGTAAGCCATCCAAGCGCTAACCACACTCGGCGTTGCTTAACTTGGGTTACCTATTGCAAGCGCCTTAGCCCGCATGGCTACCCCAGCCTTGGGCAATATATATATAGACTCAATAATTTTTCTTTTATTTATATTATTTTATTTATTTATTATTTTGCGTTTTTGAAATCAAATTGAGGTTTATTATTATTAGTTGCGTGTAGTGAAAGGCTAGTTGATGTGTTTGATTTAGAATTGCATTTTTGTACATGTTTCATTCTGTTGAGTCTATATATATTACCAAAAATTTGAAGAATTCAGTAAACAAGCAGTCTGATGTTGAGAATATAAATACCTTCTATGCAAATATAATTAACAATATTTTGATATAATATAAAAATAAAATATTTATTATTTATTTAATCTTCTCCTCTTCTATTGCATGGCATTGTGAGAATCCCTTCTGTAGAGCTTGATCCAGAAGTCTCTGTCCTCAACCATCTGCTTTCTCCTTCCCCATTCCAGCCCTCTTCTGTCAAAGGCCTCCAGTATTGCATCTTTCCCTTGGATTGCCCATCGTCCAAGATTCATTTGAATAGATAAGAATTGGTAAGAAAGTGTTTTCGTAAATTACTTTCATTGTGTTCTTTGACCCACCGGTAGCTAATATCCTTTCATTGATTTGACACCATATCCATCCATTTTCATTTAGGTGAGCACTAAGGTATTTTAAATTCCTTACTTGCTCTAACCTTGTATGGTTTAGTATTACCACTCGATCCCCATGTTCGCTTTTCCTTCCTATTCTCATAATCTTTGTTTCTGCTGCATTTATAGTCATATTGATAGTTTCTAATTCTTCCTGCAGAATGTTTATGTTGAATTGGAGGTTCCTACAGTTATTTGCAAATAAAATTAAGTTGTCCACATAGGCAAGAAGATCAAAGTGGGTGGGGTTAAGGTTTCTTTATCCCAAGCTGTCGGTTCTCAACTTTTATTCATCTTTGTCCAGAGTTATGATGAAAAGCAGTGGACTCAGGCTGTATCCCTGCCTGATGCCTTATTCTCTCGAATTAGAGGTAGTCTCGAATTCTCTTGATATGTGGTTACTTTACCTCAACCCATTATGCTGTTTCTTGTTGAGATTTAGGATTCCTTTCTGAAGTCCCGTATTGACATTCTTCTCCCTGAGTGCTGTTACAATGTATTTCTTCCTGATTCTATAGAAGGCCTTCATGAGATCGACAAAACAGGTAAAGACTTTCTTATCTTTTTCTCTGATCTTCTTGGATATTTGTCTTGAAGAAAAGATAAGATCCTCGATGCTTCTGTTTCTTATAAATCCGTACTGATCTTCCCCCAGCATTGGTTTCACTGCATTCCTGAGGCATCATTCTAGGATTTTGGAATATATTTTACTTGACACATTAAGAAGGGATATTCCTCTGTGATTCTGACATCCACTCTTATCTTCCTTTTTAAATATAGGGATGATAACAGACAATTCCCAATCTCTTAGAAATTCTTTGTTCTTCCATATTAGGTTTAGGAGGAATTAGGGTAGCTTTTATCCCATTGCTCCTATGTATTTTATCATATACAGTATGATGCCATCTATGCCTGCTGCTTTTCCTAATTAGAGGCTTGATAAAATCTCTTCGATTTCATTTTCATTTATGAAGTCATCCTCTTCTTCCTGGATTATTTGTAACAGATGGTTCTGTCCTATTTGTTCCTGTTGGCTCTATTCATGATGTGATTTGGGTTACTAAGAATGTTCCCTTGCTTGTATTCAATGTGTTTGATAGCAGGTTCTTTTTCTTTGTGCATGATTTGAATAGTTCTGTAAACTAACTTTTGATTTTCATGGAAATTCTCTTCCATTTTGCAGTTGTTATGACTTATTTTGTTTTCTTTTTCTGTTTCTCATAGAGCCTTTAATCTACATCAGTGCTGGTGTTGAAATACTGTTGCATAATGATAATTACTTACATATTCCATGGCGCTACAGCCCTACAAGGGCCTGGGCCTCCTCTACAATTCTACTCCACTTCTCCATATCCTGGGCGATTCTCCTCCGTCCTCTTATTTCCATCTCTCTCGATACCCTCTGCATACCATCTGACCATCTTAATCGTGGATGTCCTTTAACTCTTTCTCCTTCAGGCTTACCATCCAGTAATTTTTTGGTTATCCTATTCGCCGGCATCCACTCTACATGTCCCAGCCATCTCAATTGATTCTTTCTAACAAAAGAAACCAGAACCATTTCTTTCAGCTCCACATTCCTTTTTATTCTCCAGTTGCCATTCTTGCAGACAGGTCAACTGATACATAATGATGTAGAGATGGTTGACTGTGATTATAATATGAGGAGTTGGTCATGGATGTGTCAAATAAATACTATGTACTAATATAATAGTATTTTATTGGTTACACCATTATTTTAGTATGTAATATTTATTTGACCACACCAATGACCAACTCTTTCTCATATTACAATCACAGTCAACCATCTCTACACCATTATGAAAAAATCAGTAGATGAATAAGATATGTTATATATTTAAAATATAATTAATGTTTTAATACAAAAATAAATTAAATTGAAATGTAATAATAACAAATTTTCAGACTTGAAAATGGAGCAAGCGCTGGCCGAAACTTTGTCAAAAATAATATTATAAAATAAATAAAATATTAGAGGAAAATGACCATTAATTAACGAAAAATAAAGACCTTAGCACACCAAAAATAGGGAAAATGAACAAGTACTGCTCATTGGTTTTCTAGTACTTGTTTTTTAGGATGAAGATCTGGTCTAGTGTGCTCCTTCCTCTTCTGAATCCATCTTGGTGGTCACCTATTATATTTTTGTAATACCGATATTGTAATACCAGTACAGTAAGATATTAGTTATTGTCTTGTAGGAAACCTGAATGAGTGCTATTCCTCGATAATTACTACCCTCACACATGAAGTCCTTCTTTAGGATAGAGCAAGTTAAGCTAATGTTCGAAGCTTCTGTTATCCTCTCTTTCTCCCATATTTTCTGGATTATTTGAAATGACTGGGCTCTAAAGTCTGATGGTACATTGTCAATCCCCCATGCTTTACTTGTTTTAAGCGATCTGGTCACTATTTCCACATCAAGCACATCTGGATTATTATCTTTCCAAAGATTAAATAATATAAAATGAAATATTTTTTTTAAAATTTTCTCAATGTTATATATATATATATATATATATATATATATATATATATATATATATATATATATGTACATATTTATACCAATTATAATACATAAAGTAATAATACAAAAAAACACTTCTGTTTTGGAAAATCTTTGAACAAATATAGTTTATATGCTTGTATTGTGCATTTAGCATTACCATTGGTCTCCAAATTTTTATGACTCAAGTAAGTAAATTTTAACTAAACAAAAAAACAGAAATACAATTTATATTGGGCGCCAAGCAATTGCTAGTTAGATAAAAAAAAAAAATGTAAAACAAAGCATACATGGTTAATAATTTGAAAATAGTTAATGTATACCTACAGTTAAACAGGAAGGTAGCATAGATAACTGGCATGCAAAATTTAAAAACAAGATAATAAAATAAATATATTAAGGTAATAATAGCACATTTCATTCCATATCAGGAACCAACAGAACCATTCTATGGCTAGGGCATTTGCATCATGGAGGAGAAGGTGCAACAAGCTAACCAAAAATTTATTCACAACCTTCAAGAGAAATCAAACAATAATTCATGCTTGGAATATTGATACAGGCTGACTTATTGGCGAGAGGCAGAAATCAAAGAAAAAAAATAATTATTGGAGATAGCCAAATATAAGAGTCATAACTCTTGAAAGAACTAACTGAAAAGAAATCCTAAGTTATTTAACAAACCATCTTATACTTGAATAATCTTACTTGTAGATCTTGAAGAAGAAATAGAATCCATCAAATGTGAATCCACCTGATCTAGAAAAAAGTAAGTGATATAAACAAAATGTTATATAAGATCTTTAGTAATTCCTTTAAAATTATTAATTAATACTTAATTCCTTAACAAGACATTATAATAGCAATATATACCAATATATTAAAATGCATTTTTTTTTTTTACTTCGATATAACCTTTACTGTTTTTACTAGTAAGACTCAGAGCTTAATTGAGCTAATTAGATTATTAAGGAATTTTATTTAATTATAATCAGAATTAAATTTATATATTTATTTACTTTACTTTTGTTTATGTTTAAAAGGAAATAATGTAATATTTAAATAATACTATTTAGGCAGCCCACATACGGATTGTTGCCAATGTAATGTGTGAGATATATATTTGACTCTCATCATAGGTGCCAAAAAACATCTCATTTTATATCCACAGAATGGTTAATAAGGAAGTGTCAGTATATTCCCAACTTTCAATGGATTGCTTTAAAAATCCTGATACAATTCTTCACTGAATAATGATAGTAAGTAGATTATTATATTATGATTTTCATACAGACCAGAAGATCAAGAAACAACTGAGGTCATGGGTTCACCTTTACTTGGCATCATAGACTCTTCAAGGCAGAAAACGAATAGGGCATGTCTGACTCAAAATTGTTGGCATTTTATAGGATGACAAAATTTTCATATTTTCACTCAGTATAATTTTTGAAGCAAACTGTGATTGGACTACACTACTCTAACACAACACATTTACATAGTTTTGAGCCAAAATGTGCTACCAAAAGTCAATTTTTCTTATGATATAAAGATTTCACCACTTCATAACTTCTACTACTAATTTGTCACCTATATTGTATTATGAACCCACTCCAGTTTATCATTTATGATAAACTATCGCGAAGCTGCGATGAAAATAATTTTCTGAGACGCTAACGCAAAGGTTGGAAGGCAAGGAATTTATTTTCTAACAATTCACAAAGAAAGCATACACAGATATAGTAATGATAATGGGAATTCCATCAGCTGTATAGCTGATAAAATTTGTCATCTCGAAAAACCTAATAATTAAAAGTACTAGGTTTAAACGCAAGGATATTTACAAATATAATTGGACATCACTGGATTCCTTAACACAAAACCAAATCGATCACGTCTTGATACAACATAAATGGCAAATTAGTATAATTAATTTAAGGTCTTATCCCGAACCCATCTTATCCGGCCTGATATCTGTTCACGATTCACTGAAAGGACTTGGTAAAACTATCTACCCCAATAATGTACAACAACATGGACATCATATTTTGTTTTGCAATATAAATGGTTTAAAAAATTTATTTAAATTTACACTAAAAGAATGTGATACTATAATGCAATATCTCTTATTGTGTTTCGTGGAGACTTCGGCGATTGACAATAATTTCTCTTTACCTCCATGGTAACCTTTTAGCAGTAAAGCTGTCAAAACAAACACAACAGGGCGTGGCAGCAGTAGTTTGCTAACCCTAGTTCATAGCTCCATTACTTCAGGAACAAGTATTGTATATGTCAACCGCTACTGGCTTTTTGTCAATATTAAAATCAATAACAAATTATTAACAATTGGAAACATTTACTTGCCCTCTGTATGTGATATGGATACAATACTGGAAGAACTATGTAATACTATTACGGAATTACTACTCAATTATTCAGACACCTGCTTGTTTATCAATGGTGACTTTAACAGTCATGTAGGTGACCTGAATTGCTTGGATGAAGAAATGTTGTACAACTCAAACCTATACGCTACAAGGACGAACAGCCATAAACATGTTAACAGACGAGGAAAACAATTAGTGGAAGCGATGGAATCATTAGGTCTCACACTATGTAACGGCAGGACCCTCTCTGACAGACCTGGAAAGTTTACATTTATTCCTAACGTTGGTAAAAGCACTATTGATTTAGTGTGGATCAATGATATGACACCTGAAATTTTAAGTGATATGGAAGTTATAGCCATGTCTGATTTTCTGAACCATTTAGCTTGTGCTACTTCCGTGAAACCACACGTATGCTTACCAAATCCTCGAACGTTAATTATACTGGTATGGAGCCTAAAAAACATGTGAAATGGAAAGAGAACCAAAGTATATTATTCAAAACAAAATTAGCTTGCAGTGACAAAATTTACAATAATTTGCATGATGTAAACCAGCTCTATAAGAATTTCGTTGAATGCTTGCAGGCAAATATGTCTTCTGCCAGCATGCTCTTGATCAAAAAACCAACAAGGAATATAAAGTTTCAGCCTAATCAACCTTGGTTTGACTCAGAGTGCAATAACCTGAAAAGGGAAGTTAGAAGAAAATATCGAGCATTAATTAAATTCAATTTTCCTCCTCAAGTGTTACAAGACTACATCCAAACAAGAGATTCCTATAGAACATTAATTAAGAACAAGAAAAAAGAATTTAGATTTCAAATTATAAAAAACCTGCAGGATTTAATTTAATTTAATTTGAAATTGCAAAAAATAGCAGTTTTGGAAAACCGTCAATTCCTTAAAACCATACAAACCCAATGAAAATGCAATAAACATGGAGGAATGGAGCAAATTCTATATGACACATTATGGACAGAAGAACATTTGGATCTTAAAATTCATTCCCACCACCAATTCAATTTTGGAAGAGAATATAACACAAGAGGAACTGCAGCTTTGTATTAATCTTTCTAAAAATCTCCAGGACCGGACCTTATAATTTATGAAAACTTCAAAAACCTCACCCCAGAGTGGGAGCACAATATTTTGAATTTATTCAATACTGTACTTGAACAAGAGAAAGTACCTACCCAGTGGTCTAATTCCAAACTTTTCTTACTTTTTAAAAAAGGTAATAGAAGTGATGTTGATAATTATAGAGGTATATCCTTACTAAACACAATGGCTAAGTTATTTACCGGCATCATTGCAAGGAGAATAATGCTATGGGCGGACTCTCAGAATCTAATACCCGAAGAGCAAGCAGGATTCAGGAACAGAAGAGGCTGCATTGATCACATCTTCACCATCTCAGCGCTAATTGGAATAACGTTTAAGACAGAAGGAAGATATCTATATGCCATCTTCATCGACCTCAAAAAATCTTTCGATTCAATTAATCACGGACTTCTTTGGAGAAAGCTAATTACCTTAGGAGTCGGAGGAAAAATTATCAAAATTATTAAAATGCTATACGATAATGCCTCAACCCAAATTTCAGTTAATAGACAACTTTCAAAAGATATTAACATCACCTTAGGACTTTTACAAGACGAAAGTCTGAGTCCAACCTTGTTTTTGTTATTTATCTCCGACATAGTTAAATACTTTAATGACAAAGGAGCAGCAGGGGTAAGCATAGATACCTCACACAAGGTAACAATGCTCCTTCTAGCTGATGATATTATCCTCTTAAGTAACAGTTGGCATGAAACACAAAACAATATCAAAATATTACAAGAGTATTGAAGTAACAATTCTCTTACATTAAATGTAGACAAGTCTAAAACTCTTGTTTTCCACAAATCTCCATGGCTTAAGCAGCTCAAACCGTTGTATTGGCATGAGAAGATATTGGAGTATACAAAAAGTTATACTTATTTGGGAGTTACCTTCACAACGTCAGGAAAATTTAAACAAGCATGTGAGCATTTTACTCAGAAGTCATCAGTGGCATCTGCGAGAGTCATAGACACTAAAAAAAGGGAAAAGTGACTCCTGGGAAAGTAAAAAAGTGTTATTTGACTCCATGGTTTCATCAATATTGCTTTATGCTTCTGAAATATGGGGTCCCAATTATCTTGAGGCAATCGAAACGGTCCAACTTAAATTTTTAAAGCAACTGTTTGGTTGGCCCAGAAATAATCCAAACTACATAGTCAGCCTTGAAACAGGAAGAAAACCATTAAGCATGAAAGAGATAAAAAAGATGATAAATCTATGGACCAAGCTCGAGTTCATGCCAGAAGAGCGACTCCCAAAACTTTGTTTTAATAGACTTAAATCTTTAGATAAGGACAAGCCTGACATAGACTTCAATTGGGTGTCTCAATTTAGAGCAATAGCCGAGCTTAATGCCTTTGCAGAAGAGCTTTCTGTTCACCACACAAATGGACTTCTTCGATACAAATACGACATTCTGGAAAAAGCACACAACCATTATTTCTCAGCCGACATACAAAGAACTTTAAACTCAACTAACTACCCTTTATACAGAATGCTATGCAGTTACAATGCTCTCGATCCCGAAATGTACTTTACATTCAAAGTTCATATAAAGAAATTGAGATGTGTTAGATTGACTAATTGATAATTGTTGTAATTGATAAGAGTTGTCAATCCAGAACATATCAGAATCTATGCAAAAACCACAACCTTTTCGATTGAGTCTCAAGAAATTCGTATATTATGCAATCAATTTATCTACAATAGTCTACATCACATTCTCCTTCACTGCCCAGCACACAATGAATATAGACAAAAATTCCTCCATAACTTCATCTCAGAATCTTCTGATAACCACAACATCGAAACTATATTGAATATCGACTGTATAGATAAAGTAAACAAAGTTTACTATTATATGGTGGGAGTACACACTAAACCAAATTGATAATGTCTTGATACAACATAAGTGGCAAATTAGTATAATTAATCCAAGGTCTTATCGCGGGGCAGAATATAGGTCAGATGATGAATTAGTAATTGCAAAACTTCAACAAACATTTAATAAAAAAAGAGAAAAGAAAACAGTTTCAATACCGAGAATTTTAATTTGGAAAAATAAACATCCATCAATAAGAAATCTATTCGAGGCTAGAATCTTAGGAGGAGGACCACAATGATATAGATAAGTTATAGATAGAAATCAGGGATAATATTAAAGAGGTCGGTAACTCGTGCCTTGGAAAAAATAAAAATAAAAATCTTGTGCGGTGCACGCATCACACAACTTTCAATTACCACCCTCTTAGCAGAAATAAGTAATTTCAGATGAAGGGAAAGTGAAAGTAAAAATTATAGTTACTATATTGATTTATATTTCATTTTGGGTATTTTTATTTGTACAAGTACCCTTATATATACAAATTTTAATATTTATATCGCTGTAATTTATACAATTAAATATTAAATAATACCAACAATAGCATTTATGAATGTATATTTATATAATATTGTCGGAGTCCATATTATATTAAGCTCATGTTATGAATTGAAGTGTGTTCTAATTTTTTGGCTCGTATTCCTTTGGTTCCTCAATTACAACTATTCTCTTATTTCTTCTTTAGTTAATTATCAAATTCTTTCCTATTTTATATTTAACTATCTTTTATATTAGAGATTGATGTAAAATGATCAATTGTTTCAAATAAAAAAAATTAAACGTACTTTAGGGGAAGCTAATATTGAAAATTAACCATTTAAGCCCTGTTTGAGAACATCAATCATAATGAAAACTACATTTTATTTAAAACTGCTTAATTTTACACTGATATGATGAATTTAATCAAAATCGCTAGAGCCATTTTCAAGAAAATCGTAAAAATATATTTAGCCCATTATATAAAGTGCCACTTCCATTAAGCCAATTTTGATGAAAAAGTTGCTGTAATATCACTAGCATATAAAAACCTTAAATATGCAATTTAACTTTCATACAACTTTTCGTTTTTGAGCTAGACTGTTAACACACACACAAACCATTTTGCGGGACTTGGTTATTTGGACTCAGGGGACCTCAAAACGTGTATTTCCGTTGAAAACTGAGATTAGAAAATTTTCACGATCACAATACTTTCCTTTCCTATATATTTCATATATAGGTAAGTGAAAGTAAAAAGAACAAACCGTGATTTGATGAAGATTGCTAAAACATGGGGGAAAAAAGAAAAGCCGCTAAATTAAAAACACTAAATAATCCTAGCGAAAACAATCTTGAAAACTTCCGAGCCTTAAAGAAGGAAACTACTAAATTGTTCAAAAATAAAAAAGGGAGTACCTTAAGAATAAAATAATAGATATGGAAACTAATAGATTATATATATATATATATATATATATATATATATATATATATATATATATATATATTATATTTATATAAAACAAGTGCTCCTAAATTTTGAACGGTATGGTATTTGGTGAAAACATAAACTTCCCATAGAGATACTTTATTATCAAATCTATTATGTTTATATCTTCAATGAACTATCAGAGTTCTGCGGTGTCTTCAGGATATTATTCTTTTTAAAAATAATCTATTTCTTACATCTAAGCATATCATACACAGTGTTTCACAAGCAGATAACAATATTCAAGAGATCGAATGCTCCACTCAATAGGACAAAGAAACTGTAACAATCAATCTCCAAATGTTTTTTATTTGAGAGAAAATGGATGTTTTTATTTTTCCTTAAAAACATCAGTTTTTAAAATATATCATTTCTCTGATATAAACAGAAATTCAACCACGGATTTATATAAACATTGTTAGTATTTATTATGCAAATGCGGCAGAGAGTCTGAAACACCAGCCCATGTGCTGGGAAAATGCTGCAACAACTCCCTCCTCATAACACGCCGGCACCATAGGGTCAAGTTCGAATTGATAAGGCTCCTTAGAAAAAAAGAATTCACCTGCTTTAATGAGGTCTATTGCATCGACAGTGAAAGCTCTACAAGATATGCGGATATAGTTGCATTTCCCAAGAGAGGAGGAACAGCGCTGATCTTGGATCCTACTATCCGCTTTGAGAGCAATGATCTCGAGTAGGCTGGAGAGGTGGAAAGGGAAAAGAAGAGCATTTACGATAAATGTATCCCTTTCCTAAAAGAGAAATCCGCGAGACCTTCAGAGAGAGAGAGAGTTCACAATTCGGTGAGAGGCCTCTGGTTTGGGTCTCGCGGAACAATTCCAAAAAGAACAAGGAGCTTCTTCGAGGAACAAGGTGTTGATGTTGGGGAGCTAGCGATATTGGCCGACAATATTATCCTGGACTCTCTGGGAATCATGCACTATCACTTGTATTGGATTCTTAGCATTCGAATTTTTTTTTTTTTTTTATATATTTGTTATGCAATGTTGATAGTTTAGAGACTTGGGGTAGTTATTAGTTTATACTTTATAAGAGTAGTATTAAAAAAGGGAGGAAAAAAAGAAAAGAAAAAAGAAAGATATATAAGAAGAGAAGATGGTTGGGGTGATCAGTCAGAAATAAAAAGGCAAAAATAAATAATAATATTTATTTTAACATTTTCCAACGTTTCAACCTGAAGTTAAGGCCTTCATCAGGGCTGTTAAAAGAGATTGCTTGAATAGAGTGATTTGAGTTGACTCTATTCAAGCAATCTCTTCTAACAGTCCTGATAAAGGCCTGAACTTCAAGTCCAAACGTCGCCAAATGTTAAAATAAATATTATTATTTATTTTTGCCTTTTTATTTCAGACTGATCATCCCAACCATCCTTCTCTTCATTATTCACGACAGTCAACCATCAAACCTACAATTATGAAAGATATATATATTTAGCAGTAGAATAATGTAATGTATAAATTATGTCCATATGGATTGATCGGTATGCTGTGTATAAAGCCACCCTATGTAGTAGGGCAGCATTACTTTCAATAAAGTATTACTCTTTAACTCAACACCCAACTTCTCAGCAACAAGAAATTATATATATTTTTATAATAGTCAAATAACCAAATCAAATTTTATAACAACTGAACATGTGATATTTTAGTGATAGTAGATCACATAGTTTATCAAACCAATAAATACAAAAATGTCTTTCCAACTGCTATAATAACTTCAATTTTCTATTAAGAAATGATGTTTAACATAAAATAAAAAAAGGAAATTAACTTAAAGTAAAATAATAGGTTTTCAATTTCTTAACTTTAGCTCAAACAATCCCAAACAATATCAAATAATCAAATGCAGTATGTATCAAATAGTTAATACAGCCAAGAACCTAATTCACAGATCAATAGAACTCACAGACAAACCTTACATCAATAAAAACAGAAATATACAAAATACTTATCGATAACTTTTAAACTATAAACTTAATCAACAAACTTTGGTACAGTCAATTACATACAACACTAAACCATAACGAAAATAGAACCAAAAAACAAACAATACAAAAGAAACCAAAAGAAAACATTACAATAAAGAAACCTACCCAACAATTCATCACCCAATTTTTTGAAAAAATAAATCCAACAAACGAGAACAATCAGGACAACATGTCACAAACAAACAAAATGGACTTTAACTACTACTACAAAATGACATACATACCCGAACTTACTAACAAAATTAAAGACGTGTTCAAAAATTATGACATAACAGAAATTAAACTCGAACAATATAATAATAAGAAACTGTGCAGGCACATCACCAATACTAAGGATAAAATAGACTTAATAAACAAAAAAAACGTAATATATAAATTAAATTGTCAAAACTGCCCCAAAATCTACATTGGTGAAACATCCAAGCAATTAGGGACCAGAATTTCACAACATATTACTAACTGTAAAAATACAAAAAAACATAAACACAACAGCTTTAGCACATCACAGCATAAATTTAACTACAATAAACCTCAGATAATAGGCACAGAACCAAAAAACACCAATAGGAAATTACTTGAAGCAATACACATCACAAAAAACAATAGAACAACAGTCAATTATAAAACAGACACTAAACATTTAGGAACTCATTATATGGACATATTAAACAAAATTAAAATTTAATAGAAATGAAATTGCAAATACATAAAATAAACATTAACAACAATAGTATAAAAATAGAAATTCAGATCCAAAGGTCAATTGTATTCACTATCGCAGACACCCAATAATTAGTCTAAAAGCAAGATGTTGCCCTAGATGTTATATACCAAGATTATTATAACATGAATTAGAAACTGATGATGGAGCTTATTATTTTTAAGGTAATTACAAATTTATTGTAACAGCAAAATTCTGACATGCATTGTAACATGCACTATATTTTAACTCAAAAAAATTTTTAGCCTTGCATCCACAAGATCATTGGGATTGTTGTTCTGAAGATGGGAGTAAATATCCCGAAACGTAAACTTGTAAACATGCTATTTTGATAATACAACAAATATATTCAATTGTTGCTAATTGGAAGTAATCATTGCCAAATAACTAAGAATATCATACAACTTCCCCGAAAAAAGAAGATCTTCTTCAAGTTAAACGTATCCTTATGGATCTGATAGGGTTTAAGTGGTACACCCTCCATTACTATCAGAAATTTTAAATTTCACCATTACTATTAGATAAAACTCCTGTTCTACTAAAAACATACAAAACAGTCTAAAATTACCTAATAAAAAAATAATTTTTATTTAATTAACCTTAAACTAAAACATAAGGACATTGCCATCCCTTCCTTCCTACTGCCAGGAGCACCCTCTTTGCTCCTTCCACCCCCTCCCTTAGTTCTGGCCTTGCTTAATATTTATTATCATAGGAATCACAAAAATATAAAAAGAAAAAAAAGAAGCTATCTGAAGCTTACTCGTGGATTTGGATGAAGAAGCAGAATCCTTCAAAAGTGAATCCAACTTATCTATAAAAAAAGTGAATGAACAAAATTAGAAATCATCTTATTTAAAATATTCAATATTAACTGTATAATTTATACATAAATAATAAGTATTAGACCTATCTTATTTTATAGATATATCTCACATTCTAATATACATAATGAATATTAGAATAGAATAGAAATGCGGCTAGCTTGAAGAAGAGGAAACCTGCGTAAAGTTTTCCACCGAGTTATAATGTATCTCAAATTTTGGGCTAGCTCACGGAATATATTCAGTTGTTCTTTCAAAGTTTTTTGTAGTTATTTCAACTCAGACCTAGTGGTACTAATTAAACTAAGTCAAATCAATGATGCCAGACGAAAATAAACAAGAAGTTCATCAAAACAGAAGATAGCTCAGGTCCCTATGAAAATACCAACATCCTACCATAAAAACGAATTACTACTAAATGGTTTCAGTAGGTAATGTCACAATTTATTTTTTAAGAAATTAACCATGAAGTTAGAAAATGAGGTATACCCTCCATTACCAACAAAAAATTTAAATTTCACCATTACTATTAGATGAAAATCCTAATCTACTAAAAACATAAAAAAACACTCTAAAATTACCTAATAAAAAAATATTTTTTATTTAATTAACCTTAAACTAAAACATAAGGACATTGCCATCCCTTCCTTTCTGCTGTTTGGAGCACCCTCGTTGCTCCTCCCACCCCCTCCTCTAGTTTTGGCCTTGCTTAATATTTATTATCATTAGAATTACAAAACTACTAAAAAAAAAAAAGAAAAAAAAAAAGCTATCTGAAGCTTACTCATGGATTGGGATGAAGAGGCAGAATTCTTCAAAATTGAATCCAACTTACTTACTTACTTACTGCTGGGCGCTACGGTCCTACAAGGATCTGGCCTCCTCAAGGACTTCAAGCCAGTCACTCCTGTCCTCCATCTTCTTTCTCCGAGCAACTTGAGGTCTTCCTCAAGGTCATCCAACCATCCCATTCTTCGCCTTCCTCTGTATTGCTTCCCTCCAATTTTTCCATATAGCAGGTGTCTTGGAATTCTATTCTCTGGCATCCTTTCCACGTGTCCGAGCCATCTCAAGTGGGCTTTTTTCACAAATGATACCAGGTCTGGTTTGCCATACATTGCACAGAGCTCGTAATTGTTTCTTAACCACCACGTGCTATTTTCTCTTATTGGCCCATATATCCTCCAGAGTATTTTTCTTTCCCAGACATTGAGTTTCCTTTTGCTTTCACTAGTCAATAACCAGGATTCACTTCCAAACGTAACGATGGGTCTCAGTATAGTTTCATAAATCATGTTTTGCTTTTTCAGAAATAGCTTTAAACTTTCTTTAAAGTTCTTAGTATGGCATAAAGGCACTTCTTACCTGCAGCCAACCTGGCATTCACTTCTTCTTTCATGATGTTGTCATGTATAATGACTGCACCCAGGTACTTAAACGTTCTTGTACTTTTAAAACTGTGATCGCCAATCTGCAGATCATGATATTCCAGTTGTTGGCGCCTGAAAGTTTTTAAATATTTTGTTTTTCCTTCATTTACATGAAGGTCTACTTCTGCTGCTTCCCTATCAAACTCTTCAAAAGCTTCTCCTAGCGCTGCTGTGTTTCTTGCCTTTATAAGCACATCATCCACATATGCCAAGTGCTGTGTGAGCCGATCATAAATTGTTCCATTAGGGTTGGTTCTTTTCCAAGGCTAAATTAAAAATGACAGGTGATAGTGGGTCTCCCTGCCTCCAACCACTATTTACTGCAAATTCTTCTGATAGCATTCCCTGTATTTTTATCTTCATCCTGCTATCATGTCATTTTTGCTAGCTCAGTGAGCTTTCTGGGAATTCTCAATTCAAGCATTATCTTCAGTAGTTCTTCTCTTTCAATACTGTAGTATGCCTGCTTAAAATCGATAAATAAATTTTGGAGGTAAACGTGAAATTCATATCCCCCTTTCAAGAATTTGTCTTAGTGAGAATATTTGATCGATGGTTAATCTTCCAGGCCTGAAACCACACTGATAGTCGCCCACTATCTGTTCGGAAAACTTTATTAGCCGTCGGTTCAATAATACAGAGAATACCTTGTAGGCTGTATTCAGTAGTGCTATCCCTCGATAATTACCACAAGATAGTTTGTCGCCTTTTTTATGAATGGATTGAATCCAACTTATCTATGAAAAAAGTGAATGAAGACAATTAGAAATCATGTCATTTAAAATATTCAATAATAACTATATAATTTATACATAAATAATAATAAATATTAGAACTATCATATTTTATAGATATATCTCACATTCTAATATACATAAAATAGAAATGTAGCTAGCCCGAAGAAAAGGAAACCTGCATTAAGTTTTCCAATGAGTTATAGTGTATCTCAAATCTTGGGCTAGCTCAGGGAATATATTCAGTTGTTCTTTCAAAGTATTTTGTAGTTATTTCAACTCAGGCCAAGTGGCATTGATTAAACTAAGTTAAATCAATGATGCCAGATGAAAATAAACAAGAAGTTCCATCGAAACAGAAGATAGCTCAGGTCCCTATGAAAATACCAACATGCTGCCATAAAAAGGAATTACTACTAAATGGTTTCAGTAGGTAATGTTACAATTTGTTTTTTAAAAATTTAACCATGAAGTTAGAAAATATCATTATATTGACTATTCTTCCAGAAAGCTTTTTGTAAAAACAAAAAGTCCTAATAAAGTTTTCAACAAAATTCACTAATTAATTTTTGAATTTTGTCAACTTTCTCTTCCCTAAACCTTTACTTTCAACAACCTCCCACTCCCTGGATAAACTAAGAGATCTGAAAACTGAGAGACGTTTTAAGCATATCCGAATCCCAAATGATTATTCCATTTTCAAGTTCCTTAGAAATCTTACAGCTCCTTATGTTGTGCCAAGACATGGTATTCTCATAGAATCCTTTCCCAAGCTCCAGACCCTAATGGTGGTATACATCTCTTATACTTCACTACTCTCTTATTGTCCCCAACTGACTCAGATCTGAGTCCATCCCTTTAACCTCCCTTCTACAATACAGAGACATTTGGTGGAGATAGAGGGCCCTTCTTTATTCCCAAAACTCCCCTTTACACTCACTACAACTTATATTTAACTGATAGGAAATGTTATTATTATTATTTTTGCTAGTATTATACTTCTAAAATTATAATTTTTGTTATTATTATACTTCTTCCTAAATAAAATATAATGAAATAAAATTTCTTGGTTCAAACTATTTTTCGGATATTTTAGAGGTAGCCTAGAAGCTAAAAAAAAATTTGTATTAAAATGTTCTTTTCTCCACTCCACTTATGTAGAAGGAGGTTGCGGGATTGTTACCATTCAAATAACGTTGTTTTATAATTATGTATGGATGACTCAATAAATATTTAGTGCGGAGGAAATAAATTTCCTCACTTTACAAGTTTTAGAAAGTGTGACAGTTCTGGAAAACCAGAAAATTCTTGGAAAGTATGAAATTTGCTATAATATCCTTATCAAATGTATCAGAGTTCTCACATATATATTGATTTGTTGGTGTTCACGTGTCAAAAAAATCCATTTTTAGTTAATATTTTACTGATTATATAATTAATCAGCAGTTTATATTATATAATTAATCAGCCCCTATTCATTTTAGTAGATAATGTTTCTCACTCTTTTTGTTCAGCTTCTATATTAAAACATTATACATAAATTTTACTATTATTAAATACTAAATAAAAACTTTTATTGTTGTTTTTACATTTGAAGTCGACATAACAAACACTTCTTAACAATATGGTAATATCATTCACTATAAATAAAATGAAAGTTGAGAAATAGCAAATTCTTTTTAGCTTCTAGCCTACCTCTAAAATATCCGGAAAATAGTTTGAACCAAGAAATTTTATTTTACTAAAATTTATTTAGGTAGAAGTATCCTTTTCATGTGCCCATATCACTGTAATCTTCCATTATTTCTAGTATATTATACTTAACTTCCATCCTTTCTCTAATGGCCTTGTTCCTGATTCTTTGTGTCCTTGTGACTCCAGCCGACCTCCTCCACAAATCCATCTCCACAGCTAGAGATGCTCTGTGATCTCTCGAGCGGCCACATTTCCAAACTATAGAGCATTAGGCTCTCTACCAGGGCCTTGTATATTAATTTATTTACATTATTATAAATATTTTCGCTCCAGAGAACTGAATTGAGCATACCGATTGCTTTCTGCCTGTTTGTCAATCTTTTTTTAATATCCTTCATAGCGAAATTGGTGTACCCTACAAAACTCTGTCAAAACTGGGTCACTCAAATCATTGTTCTCTGTTGATATATATTTTGTTTTATAATAATTAATATTCAGGCTCCATTGTTCATACTGTTCGGTTAATTTTCTGAACATATAAAACCGATATCAAACTCACCTTGCGCTATTATCACCTGGCCATCCACGAATAGTAGGTAACATAAATGTCTGTCATTCATTGGAATGCTTATTTTGCCACATTTTTGGGCCCAATTCCTCAAGCATGCAGCATCCCTGAAGGAGGCGTTTACTATTTCTAAACTCTTCTGAGAAGGAGCCAATTTTTACTTTGCACTTCTTCTCTCTATATATTTCCTTTACCACTGCCACTAAATCAGTGCCATCTTTCAAGAGCTTTCCAAAGTAATTTCTGTGGCACGTTATTGTAGGCTTTTTCGAGATCTATAAAGATCATATCTAATTTCTTTGATTTTTCAGCTTGCTTTTCTAAAACTTGCCTTACAGTAAATATATGATCAATGCAGGACCTCCCTACAGTAAAACCACATTGTTATTTGGACTGAACAAAATCATTCTGTAGCATGTTTTTGATTGTTCTGCCCAGCAGGTTCATTATCGGATTTGTCACACATATTCCTCTATAGTTACCCCTATCTGATTACTCCAGTTACCCCATTCGTATTAAATTTAATTTCGTGTGTTGTTTTTCTTCTTTTCTCAATTCTCTTAGTACCAACCATGCTTCAGCCGCTCGTCCAAATTCCAATATACTATTTATGTTTGCACACATCCTTTCCCACCATTCATGTTTGGCTCTTGTTGTGGCCTTGATCAATTCCTTATTTTCTTTTTCATACATGTCTCTGTCCTTGTCATTCCTTGTGCTTAGCCACTTCAGGTAGGCTTGCTTTTTACTTTGGATTCTATCATATATATCTTCTGTCAACCATTCCATTCGTATAGTATATCTGGACCTTACACCAAGAACCTCACACCCTATTCTTTTCATTATTAAAATTTAAATTATAATTACATTGTTTATCCAGTGAAAATATTATTAGAATTGATTTGTGCTGTCTCTCATTTAATATAACTGGAAAGAGCATGAAATTTTCTATCAGATTATGAAATAATATTTGAAGACTTTTGAGTTTTAAGAGATTTATTATAATGTAAATCAAATAATTGTTTGCATGATGCAGAAATAGTGTGCTAATCGATATAGAAAAATACCTGTAGCTAAAATCTCTCTCCGAATAACCCAATACAACCATATATTAATAAAAACAGTATAACATTCTCTATCAAATGAAAAAATAATATTAGTGAGATTTTGAGTTTGAAGAATTATATTACAATGTAAACCTAATACACGGAACTTTAAATTATCAGTTATGTATACAAGTAACTTTTTACAACTACCAATTGAAACTTTTTTGGGCCTACAAATTTCTTTAGCAAGAGAGGAGTGATTTCCATGACAGTTCATACATTTCAATAACGAATTAGGTAGGCATTTTTTTTTTTTAAATTCAACATTGTTTTCTTTGTTTATAATTCTTATTTTAAAACATCTAACATTAATAACATTTGAGTGTCAGAACATAATGTTTTTAAATTATCAAGAATTTCTGATTCTGTTAATCCTTTAAAATCATCATATCATAACCTTATTACTGCAGGAGCTCATTCACATGTTTCTACCAGATGGTGCATCCTGAAATCCAAAAAGATGGTCCAGAAAAACGGATTTTTTTTTTGGCATCAATTTGTTTAAAATGCTATTTTTAGTTACCCTGCAAGATCTTAGCTTTCAAAAATCCATTTTAACCTTTTTATTCAACTTTTAATAACCAGGACATTTGCCTTTCCAGCCGCACATAGCAATGCAAAACTAGAGCGGTAATCCCGTAACACTTCACTTTCTTGCTTAATTGCTCATTTCTGAAAAGCAGAATAAATGAAAATTATCATAAAAATAACTCTTAAGTGATCATAAAAATTAAATTATATTATTTCTAAAAAAAAAGTGGGATATTTTTTATATTTACAATTTTTTTTCTTACCTAACAAAGTTCCATATTGAAACATAACCCAGTTATAAATTTTTTATTTTTTAATTTATTCAATTCATAGTCTCCTTCCGTTTTAAAGTTACTTTTTTCAAAGTTGGTATTTAATTGAGGAATTATTTTATCCGAATTAAAACAGGATTACTAATTACTTCTGTAACCATTTTACCTGTGTTATGTTCACTTATATAAACTAATTGATCATCATTGATTTCAATACTTGAAGGAACTTCCTCCAACCCATCATTAGTGACATTTAAAAAAAAATTTTATCTTACATACTTTTTTTTTTATTATTATTATTTTTAAAATATTACAATCTGTCTCTAGGACATTTATAATAGAGTTCACAGATCACATTCACACTCTATATACAATAAATAAGAATAAAATAACCTAAAAATAAATAAATAAAAAGAACACATACACACCTAAATCTTACATACTAAAAGAATAAAATGAAACAAAATAAAAGAAAACTCAAAATATAAACACATCTTACGTATTAAATAAACCAAATCAAATTAAAGAATAAGAAAATTAATATTAAACTTAAATAAATCGATTATCTGTATATCCTATTGAATCAGCTACAAACACCTAGATCCTCACAGCACGGCTGTTAACGCTGGACTAATACATTAGGTTTATATTGCAATAAAACTTTTCAAACTCAAAAGCCCACTAATATTATTTTTGCATTTGGTAGAGAATGTTATGCTGTTTTCATTCATACATGGTTGTATAGGGATATTTGAAGAGAGATTTTAGCTAAAGAGTTTGATATTTTTATCACAACTGCAAATTTATGTTTAAGAATTTTTTTATACAGGACAAGAAATTATAATGCTAAAACTTATATCAGAAGATTCTGAAATAAATTTATGACAAATGAATAAATTTTAAAAGCTCTAATACAATATTTGTTTTACATAGAAAAACCAAACAGGTATACGTTAGTTTTGAGCTAAAATATCTTTCCAACTTCAAATATTTCAAAAGTTTAAATGCCTATATTTATAAAACCAATCTTTAGAATTGGGTAAAATTTGGAAGTTTTACATACTTTTGTATTTCCTTAATATTTACAAATTTTCATTAAAATCTGAGGGTGGTGGGTGTCGGGCCATGGATGATTTGGCATGGAATTACCCTAAAGTAAATCTGCTTAGGAGGATTGAAAGACCGGGCTCCTTGAGGTCTGGCTTTTTTCCAGGTTCCCACTCCGGAAACATGGGCAATGTGAAAACCTTAGTATAGCAGTTTATGTCACTGTTTGATCTATGCTGCTTTATATTATTGATTTTCATCTTAGCCCCTCAGATCTTAATGAAAATTCTTGATGTCAAGATATTCTCAGATGTGTACATCAGAGTGCACGACAAGCACACCGACATCCTCTATCCATTGAAATGCTGTTTATTCTGCCATATCTGGATTAATGTGGGCAGAAGTGATCCAGATTTGGGGAATCTACTATATTTAAAAATAGTAAATAAAATGTAGTAATCATAAATTTATTTTATATATTTATAATAAACTTCACAATTTTACATCAAAATATTTTTTTTAAGTTGTTTGTTTTGTTCTATTTGTCAAATTTACCCAAGTCAGGAGGTCTTGGTAGTGGTTTATCAGCACAACACACTATTATTCCTATGCCATCTGCGTGATAATAATTTAAATGATAAATCGGAAAACAGAATTTAATGCTAGCTAGTGATTGAGTTATGTATATTTATTTTAAAATCAATAAATAGTTAACATGAAATTTAAATTAAACATTTTTTGTGGTATGAATTTAAACTTATAGAATGTTAACTCCTACAATATTTTAGTTTTATTTGTTATGTAATTCTCATTTTAAAATTATCAAGTGATACCATACGTGTATATATAAATATATAACTAAAAACTCGTATTCTTATGGTTTCAGTTTTTCAATAGGGTTTAAGGAAAAAATCACTCTTTTTTCTTATATACATTAGTATTTGGCTTTCCAGATATCTGAGTCTAGTTATGGGAGAATCTGCTTTAGCTTCAAATGGCTTTGCTGAGTAAAGACTGAAACAAATAATTTTGTTTAGTAGGTCTGTAAATGTTTTTGAAGCCTAAATTTCTACTTCCAGGATTGATGGTGGAATGTTAAGCATTACCTCCATAGTAGCAGTTGGAGTAGATGAATTAATTGTACCTGCTATCATAAGTCTAATCTCTATAGCTTCTCCAGTAAGATCTTGGTCCCGCCAATCTTTGCTTTGTGGCACCAAATCAATCTTGGCACCAAAACAAAGTTGAACAGAGTACAATATTTCTGATGACCATAATATGCAAACCAATAAATCATGTTTGCTTTAAGCTCCCAGTTTTTACATATGGCTCTTTTACAGGCATTTGAGAGCTTTGTTAAATGTGTTGTTCACATGACTGCCATAACATTTTGTGATCCATAATAATCTCTACATTTCACTTCCTTGCTCCGGATTAGCTATATACTACTTATTTTTGGCAATTTTATTACCAACTTTCTCTTTTTAGGGAAGATGTAGACATTTATGTTTTGATGTTTAATTCACTGGATCCACACCAATCCATATATGTTCATTGCAGTTTTAAGGAGATCAGAGAGTACACTCCAATACTCCAGTCAAAAGCACTTTCAATGTCCGCCAAAATCCCGACCATAATTTCTTTTTGGTTTTGTATGATGCACTTACAAACACTACAATCTTTTAACTCCAAAATTTTAAGAATAATAGCAGCAACTCTTAAGTAAATAACAGAACACATTTACACTCTTTAGACAAGAAAAAGGTGCTGCTCAGCACTTTCTTCATGTCAGAACCAAATTTATTAACACATTTGCTGATTGTCACTCAGATCTGTGCAAATAAAGATATGAAGTTGCAAAAAATAATGATAATAACAATAAAATATGATAATGTGCAAAAAGATGCTCCCCACCAAATATATATATATATATATTTCAAATAAACTTACCAACAGGTGAGGAATCTATTGACAATGAATTTCCTTGATCTAAAAAAAAAAAATTACAGATATTTAAAATGATGAAAATGATAGATTTAGGTCAATTTAATAAAAATAAGATTTAAATTAAAAAAAAAGATAATACAACTAAAAATATAGACAAAAAGTGTAATTAAGTAATAATTGGAAGAATTCAAAATGAAGGTTTAATTTCCTCAAGCACAGTTAATAACAAATTGGTCACCATTAGCCAAATCAAGACTAATAAAAACTAAATTACATTATTGAATACAAGCTTTAAGAAGTAATTTAACAGTGTTGCATTCCATATATTAGATATCATAAATATAGTCTTCTATTGCATCATTCCTTCTTATTGTAGGGAGAGGTGGACATAAATACCTTATGTAATAAAAAACCAACAACAAAAATCTGGAGACAAACGCCACAAGGGGAGGTCACGGATGAGGAATCACCAATTTCAATGAAACTTTTTTTGGTGATAATAGATTGAAAAATATTTGACCGATGTCCAAGAGTTCTTGCCTATGTGCACTAGGAGCTGAGAAAGAATATATTATAAAATATTGTTTTTATATTACTGTTTTCTGAAGTTGATGTGAATAGATTTCTAAGTTATTATGCTTCAATAGATTATTTTTTTTGTTAATAATAAGAAAAACATATTGCTAATTGTATTAAACTAATTATAACGTATAATAAATTATAAAAACCAAAAGATGCTTCCATTAAAGTAGGCTTTTTGAGACCCAGTTCTTATGAGACCCATCTACAGGGTGTCACATAAGTAGAGGGAAATATTTATAGTTTTTCAGAAGAAGTTAGTAGGGGGTACGGTAAAAAAATACTATATTATATAATAGTATATTTTATTACATTGTATAATGTTTCAACCCACATTGTAGGTCTTCCTCAGGGCATTCCATCAGTCATTGTTGAAGGCTGTATGGTGACTAATTGTCTTGACATATTTATAGGAGTGATAGCAGACCACAAAAGCTACAAAAAAGGTTATATAAACAAAGGGCTAATTTTCAGCAGAAAAGTAGGAAATTGAGTAAAGGTTTAATAGGCTAAAACTTGAGATTCACCTCAAGTTGTGTAAAAAAATTATATGATGTTTATATCCTATCACATAAAGGTACACGTGGTTTTCAATAAAAAATACTAAAATTAACTGTTGCAAAGCTTTTATTTCTTGTTTTTCCATGATCTGGAATGTAATATAATAAATACACTTTTTATAAATAAATAAAAAAATATAAATAATGACTTTTCAAATATTTTTCATGTAAAGTGGTTATTAAACAGTGTTTGTTTCCCAGATCTCTGTCATAGGAATTGATCCGTATTTATAAGTGACAAATTTAATATTTCTGGTCATAAAATTTATGTTTAAAATAAAAAAACTTTCTGATTTCTTCAATTATTTTTATAAAAACCTAAATATTTAGGATCAGGAAGATTAAGTTTCTGGAGTCTGGCCCTGGCTACAGTAGAATTAATATCTGAGTCTACGTTTGTTATTAATTAGTGTGGAAAAAGTGCACCAATTTTGAAATAAAATCACATACATATAGTATTATCGATAATTAAGAAATGGTTAAAATCTTGTTTTCGTACAATGACTGATAGTGAAGATATTAAAAGAGAGAATTGTAACTGTTCAGTTAATGGGATTAGCAAAGCAGCTGGCAGCAGAAGAGCTAAGTAATCCATCAGATGGTACCATTGATAATAGCGTTGTGAATACAAATACAACTTATTTACCTAAATAAGGAGAACAAATGGGTAGGGTAACAGGTCCAGAGAGGGAGATGGGTGCGGAAGTCTCCCACACTCTTTGCAGAACGATCGAGCATTAGTGCTCTACCCACTACAAGTGAGTTCCCAGATCTCCTTATCCCTATCAATGCCTACTGTCACATCCATGTGGTGCCCCTGTGGATAGAGGTGGGATTTATCGCTTATATCCATATACTGAGTTGCCTTCAGTAGACTGACAGGCCTCACATACCGGGGGGAGGGCCAATTCCTGGGCATCGTGGCTTTCCCTGGTGGACGGTCACTCATCCAAGTACTAACCACGCTCGACATTGCTTAACTTTGATTACCTATTGCAAGCGCCTTAGCCCGTATGGCTAAACCGGCTCCTTAAGCATTTGCACATTTCTGAAGCTAACTCCTATATTTTTACATTTATTAATTTTTACTATTATATTTTAATATATATACTTGAAGGAAGTTAGTCGACTGTTCTACATATCATGGGTGATAAATATTCAGGACGCAGTCTTTTTTAAAAAATTTTTAATTTTTGCCAACGTTTCAACCCAAACATGTGGGTCATCTTCAGGGCTGAAAATGTTTTTTTAAAATTACAATCAGAGATATAATAGTATACGACCGCTAATTATAAATAATAAACTATAGTGATTGATGGCAATGAATCTTAACTAATATTGTAATACACATATTAAAATAGTTATACAAACTAAAAATAACAAGTAATGTATATAATCCATTTATATAAATTTGTAATATTTTCTGTTACTAACCGTGGTTTGAGCACTGAGGTTGTTCATGTACTGACACATGTTTGGTAGATAAGTAAAAAGGTCAGGGGGGGGGGAGGATTTCCCACTTGTCCTTTTTTTTTTTAGATAGCAAAAGGTAAGTAAACAAGGTTAGAAGGGAAGGGAGGGTAACATATGTTGTTTGTAGAATATACATAATTTGCTGACAAATATTTCAGACGTGTACAATATTTGAGTTCTTTCATACGGTTACAGAAATGTGAATATTGACTAGTATTAAAATGAACATAAGCAAAAGGTGCCAATTAATATAAATATAGCTTAGTTTGATAGCAAGTATACAAGGGTTAGGTGAATAATTTCTATAATAAAGACAATTTCAATGTATGCAGATGATACTTAGGAAAACATATTATACAATATTTATCATAATATAAGTTTGTGTTATATTAAGGATTACATAGGCTATTGTTTCAGGAGGCAGAAAATATTTGAATATGTATTGCAGATCTTTTATTTGTCTACTTTATGGTTTACCGTATTATTTTTTTTCCAAATTAATGAATATAGATTCTGATAGTAGTCGTTTTTGGTGATTGGGAACTGTGGCGAGTATGGTTGGGTTTTCGAAATCAAATGTGTGGTTTAGGGTTATGGTGTGTTCCGCTAGTTAGATTCGCTTTTTTTAAATAGTTTTTGGTTTCTCCTATATAAGAAGAATTACAGTTTTAGCATATGATATGGTATACAGTATTTGATTGTTGTAGGAGCGAAACAGGATCTTTGAGTTTGGTGTATAGATTTCTTAGTTTACTATTATTTTTGAAAACTATTTGTAGATGGGGAAATTTGGAAGTTAACGCTTTTTTGATTTTTTGAGATAGGACAGGGATGTATGGAATGGATCTATATTGGCAAATAGTGGTGGGGGACTTAGAGCAATTTGTGGGAGACTGGTGAAGATGGGGTTTTGATTGATTCTTGATCAAGTTTTTTATAATGTGATCAGGAAAAGCGTTGGATTTCAGGATCTTGTGTAGTTTGGTTAGGTTGTTATCGGCGAATTGTGGGTCGGTTAATGTAAAACTGCGGTGTATCAGGTTTTTAGCTACACTGATTTTTTGGTGGTAAGGGTGTTGGGAAAAATAGTTTAGGAGACGGCCTGAGTAGGTAGGTTTGGTGTACCAATTGGTGGATAAGGTGTTATGGAAAGAATTTTTAATATCATATGGATCATTTTGACTGAGAGACTGGATGGCAGGGAGAAGAAATTTACTGAGTTTAGAAGATGGAGAGTTAATCTTGGAAATAATAGGTCGGAGAGGATTGCCTGGTGTGTGGATTTTTGGTAAGCCGTAGCAGCGGGGAGCAGTGGAATTATAAGAGATTAGATTTCTATAGGTAGGAACTTTAATTTGTTTGGTATAAAACTTGATCAAGAATCAATCAAAACCCCATCTTCACCAGTCTCCCACAAATTGCTCTCAGTCCCCCACCACTATTTGCCAATATAGATCCATTCCATACATCCCTGTCCTATCTCAAAAAATCAAAAAAGCGATAACTTCCAAATTTCCCCATCTACAAATAGTTTTCAAAAATAATAGTAAACTAAGAAATCTATACACCAAACTCAAAGATCCTGTTCCGCTCCTACAACAATCAAATACTGTATACCATATCACATGCTAAAACTTTAATTCTTCTTATATAGGAGAAACCAAAAACTATTTAAAAAAACAAATCTATCAACACAAATATACCATCTCCACACAAAACCCGTTTGCCTCAAAACTAGCGGAACACGCCATAACCCTAAACCACACATTTGATTTCGAAAACCCAACCATACTCGCCACAGTTCCCAATCACCAAAAACGACTACTATCAGAATCTATATTCATTAATTTGGAAAAAAATAATACGATAAACCATAAAGTAGACAAATAAAAGATCTGCAATACATATTCAAATATTTTCTGCCTCCTGAAACAATAGCCTATGTAATCCTCGATATAACACAAACTTATATTATGATAAATATTGTATAATATGTTTTCCTAAGTATCATCTGCATACATTGAAATTGTCTTTATTATAGAAATTATTCACCTAACCCTTGTATACTTGCTATCAAACTAAGCTATATTTATATTAATTGGCACCTTTTGCTTATGTTCATTTTAATATTAGTCAATAGTCACATTTCTGTAACCATATGAAATAACTCAAATATTATACACGTCTGAAATATTTGTCAGCAAATTATGTATATTCTACAAACAACATATGTTACCCTCCCTTCCCCTCTAACCTTGTTTACTTACCTTTTGCTATCTAAAAAAAAAAAAAGGACAAGTGAGAAATCCTCCTCCCTCCTGACCTTTTTACTTACCTACCAAACATGTGTACATGAACAACCTCAGTGCTCAAACCACGGTTAGTAAGAGAAAATATTACAAATTTATATAAATGGATTATATATATTAT